TAGATCAAAATTTTAGAATTTTCTGCAATAATTTCTTTGACCATAGTCTATTGGTACCTAATAAATTGGTCTTGTCCAAATTAATTCGTGGAAATTGTTTTGACAACGATATGGTCAAGTGTTTGTGCTGCCCATATAGCCCAAAGCAGGTGGGAAGTCTCTTAATCTTTCTACTTTGGCAAACCCATGACAGCAGTCAGAAGCAACTCTCTCATACCACATTTGAAATCGATAGGTTTGAACAAATTTGTCTGAAATTAATGCTAATGCAAAGTAATGTTGAAATATATAATCTGATCTCCTGATTAAACTGTAATACTTTTCACACTTGAAAATGAGAATTCAGAAAGTTATATATATAACATTGTATTCATTATTTTAGTATAAATATTCAAATATAATTGGCTATGCGTCTCTTAATATTGGATTTTACATGTGTCTCTCTATGATCAATTTACAACTATTCTGAAGAAAAGTAGAGTTGTTTATTAACATAAGTTGAGCCTCTATAAATTCCTTTTGGCACTCCCATTTTTTCTTCTTAATATTAAATGCTCATTAACTGGAATTGGCTAGTTTAGCTATCATTTTCTTGGAAGGTAAAACGTTGGCTATACCTTGAATTAGACCTCAATTAATCGGGTTCTAGATTCATTAGGGTGGCTCCAAAAACTAGCTAGGTTTACTTCTTCATAAACGAGGGCTCGATTTAGACCACACTGTTGAAAAAAAAATGTGAACCTCCCAACATAATTTCACCACCATTAATTAAATAATGGCGTTTTATTATTTTAGGTTCGACTCTTTCAAGACGCGGTGTCTCTTAATTACAATCTCTTACTTCAAGGGAACATCCTTTGATTCCATCATAAAGAAACAGAACGTGTGTGTTTGATTTTGCAGCTGCTCCTAAGTCAAACCTCAGGGTGCCTGCATATCCCTTACGGGAATCAAACCACTTGTAGTTCAAAGAATTGCAATAAATAAATTACTCATTGCAAGGAAAATTTGATTCATATTGTATTGAGTGAATTTAGCTGAATAAACCAGGGATTCAATTTTGAATTGTGTTTGGGGCGAATTTGGTTAAGAATAAACAAGGGATTCTGTTTGGATTTAAGATTTGGGCGGTTGCATCTAGATTGAGTCTCTAGATTGCCTATGTAGCCTTTCGAAGGGATCAAACCAAAGTAGTTCAGAGAATCGATTTGGAAATTAATGGGTAAGTATGGCCCACTAATTAAGAATTTGTGTCTTTGAGACAATTTGGAGATGTTGAAATTTGTATAGATAGATGACCTATGGGGAAAATTGAAAATTAATGGGTATGTGTGGCCCACTAACTGAGAATTTGTGTTTGAGAGATTTGAATTTAATCTCATTGGAATTTGCATGGGTAGATGACCCATGGGAAAAGTTGGATGGTTTTGTACCATTTTTCTTATTGTCAATGTCCAAGAAAAATAATGAGAAATTTCGATTAACCCACTAATTTTCTAAAATTGACATTTGAACTTGGAAAAGTGTTTTGGTGAATTTGGTTAGACTAAACTAAGGATTCAAATTTGGCTGTGGTGGCATCTAGTGGGATGCTAAGACTACTTACGTACCCTTGATGGGATCAAACCGACATAGTTCCAAACTTAGAAATTAATGGGTAAGTGTGGCCACTAATTTAGAATTTCTGTCTTTGAGACAATTTTGAGATTTTAAGATTTCATAGGTAAATGACCCATGAGAAAAATTAAAAATTAATGGGTAAGTGTGGCCTACTAATTGAGAATTTGAATTTAATCTCATTGAAATTTAGATGGGTAGATGACCCATGGGAAATATTGGAAATTAATGGGTAAGTGTGGCCCACTAATTGAGAATTTATGTTTGAGATATTTGAATGGGTAGATGACCCATAGGAAAAATTGGATGGTTTTGTACCATTTTTCTTATTGTCAATGTCCAAGAAAATAATGAGCAATTTTGATGAACCCACTAATTTTCTACAATTGACATTTGCATTTGGGAAAGTGTTTGGACAAACCTTTGACGACATTTTTCTTATGGTTGCGATTGCGTCTATTGGGATGCTAGGCTGCCTACGTACCCTTGACGGAATCAAACCGACGTAGTTTCAAATTTAGAAATTAATGGGTAAGTATGGCCCACTAATTAAGAAATTTGTGATTGAGAGATTTGAATGTTATGTCATTGAAATTTGCAAGGGTAGATGACCCATAAGAAAATTCGGAATGGTTTTATACCATTTTTTCATTGTCAATATAAAAAAAAACAACAAATGGGCAATTTTGATGAACCCACAAATTTAATTTGATCACTGACACATGCATTTATATCCATGCATGATTTGGGGGATTTTAGATTAATGAGCTTTTGTTATTGATAAACTCGTTAATCCATATTGATGCTCCTTTGCTATCTTTTGAAATTGAGCTTGATGCTCAGGGCATAACCAATCATCTATTTGGATTGGAGTCACCGTCACACCATGGTTGAATTTCTTGGCACTCATTTATGAATAGCTTCTTTGCCACAATGATTGATTCCCACATTTCTTAGTGGGGCTTTCGAAGTGGTTTTGTATCACTTAGGCTTTTGATGTGGTTTTACACCACTTGAGCCTTAATTTGCTGCCTTGGGAATTAATGGGCGCTTTGGATTTGAACCCACTAATCTATCCTTTGTGAATTTAAAAACTCATACCAATTGTTTGCCAATTGGATTTTTAATGGACAATTCCATTGAGCTTTAGACTTGTAATGGAATAAGCTCATCATATTTAATACCATCAAATCTTGAGATGTGAGATTAGAGACGTCGGGTCTTGAGATATTTGCTTTCTCTTGATAGCCCAGTATTTTAGTAGGCATAACTTAGACTTATGTTAGCTCTCGGACTTGTTGCGTGGTCTTTGTGACTTTGTACAAGCAGCCCATGAAACCCACTTCAACTGATTTGGCAGTCCCTGATCAACTCAGGTTTGAATTTGAGCGGAACTACAATATTGTAAACGGACTTAAGATTGAGATCCTTTCAAGCATGAAGCCTTTGGTGTTTTACTATCTCGAACTTGTCTCGAGTATGTGGACCTTCTTGGATTTCCAGCCAACAACATTAGCTTTGTAAAATCCCTTCTTGCTGGCATTGAGGTGAGTCCTTGATTTCAAAGATTTGTTAGCTTACCGCATGCCAAGGGAAGAAGAAATCCTCTGGCTATTGTTGCTTTGCTTTTTTGGACTTTCATGCGGTGGCTTTCACCGCATCCCTCTTCTATTTTTTCTTCTATTTTAAAGCTGGCTTTGTTTTCTTTAGATGTGCAAGACATCAATTTCCAACCACGATGACTTGCTTTGTCTTGAGCTTCATACAAAAGGCTTGACCATTTGGTTTGCCATCTTACGTGGACCAAATCTCTTTGGGTTCTTCTAGTTGTCATAATGCTTGAAAGCCATTTATATTTGGTTAATAAGCCAATCCTGCAGAAAAGTGACGAGCACCATTTTTCCTTCCTGCTGGCAGCAACAGTAATTTGAACAAGGTGGACCTTTCGAGCTTTGGTTTGAGAGGTTGGTCTTTGCACAGATCAGCATGTTGAACTCTTTAGCGGTCAATAATTCAAATAGAAATCTCATAGCTTTTTTAATGCTTGTTTGAGAATTTCTATCAAAGACAGGTTTCTCACCCATAAAGATTTATCATCCCAAATAAATTTTAGGGTTTCTCACCCAATAATGGATTTAGTATCCAATGATTTTAGGGTGAAAAACTCAATTCTTGATTGAGAGTGAAACACCCAAACTTTATTTTTAGGGTGCAATCCCCAAATTTGGTTTTAGGGTGCAAACCCATATTTGTTTTCAGGGTGTAAATCCCAGGCTTTGTTTCCGGGGTGCAAAATCCGATGATTTGATTTCAAGGTTTAATACCCAATGACAGACTTTGCATCCAAATAATTTCGGGGTTTCTCACCCATGGATTTCTCATTCCAAATAAATTTTAGAGTTTCTCACCCAATAATGGATTTCGTATCCAATGATTTTTCAAGGTTACTCACCAATGAATTTGCATCTAAATAATTTCGAGGTTCCTCACCCATAAATTTCTCATCCCAAATAAATTTCAGGTTTCTCACCCAATAATGAATTTCGTATCCAATAATTTTTCAAGGTTGCTCACACACTGAATTTGATTTATGAGTTTGACTCAAAACGGATTCATCATCCATAGAATTTGGTTCATGGATTTTATACCCAAGCATGGAGAACTTGCGGCATTTTTCTTCAGCACAAATGTGCTCCATTCTCCCAGCCGTGTACCCCTTTTTATAGGCCCTTAATTTTGAAGAGTTTGAGATTAAATGAATAACCTTGGCCTTAGTGTTTGACACAAACACTTCAGCTTCAAATTCTACTAATTCAACTGCCATTATATTGACAATTTTTTAAAACTATTCATACAAATAACCTGTAGGCAAATAATTGTAATTCCATTTGAACACGCACTCCATAGCTAGAATTTTGGTGTTATCTTATTTTATAGGAATTTCAATGTGTGCAGACATCTTATTTTTATTTTATTTTTTTTTAAATTTCGTTTCGACAAATGCCCCCTCAAGCATTATGCGGGAAACAACTTTTTGCGTGCAAGGCTTAACAACTTTCCTCTCTAGATACCGGTTGCATTTTCTTCTGCTTTCTGCTTTTCGTTTCAAAATCCATATGCTATTGCTGCTTGTTGGTGCTTCTTTTTACAGTACAAAGGAAGTTAAAATGCCATGGATAACTTACGGACCCTGCACTCTCATCCTTGAATTTTCCTAGACTATCCACAAAGAAATAACTTAATTTGAACCATCGCTCATCAGAAAAGAATGACCTATAAACAATGTAAAACGGGTATAACTCCCAGACGAAAATAAATAATAATTTCATCTTTCCTTGACAGAAGGGATGTTGATGAATGAATTCTTGAAACAATATGTACGGCTATGAGTTGGGGACAAAGGTGCCAACATAACCAACCCCCGCAATGAAGAATGCAACAGATTGGATGAATAGGTAGATAAAGTAGCCGTTCTTTCCAAAGGCAAGGTCATAGCAGCCGCAGAAGAAGAGGTAGAATCCAACAACGAGCTCAAGCATATGTAGTCTGTTTATTAGTAATCACAAGAAAAGAAAAGAATAAATCACATTTGACAAGATCTTGTGGCATCAAATGCTATCATAACAAATTGAAAAGTTATTCATTTTAAAGTAATTCTATAAACAGAACAGAAACCAAATGCATAGATTTATACCTTTCTCCAATTCTTAATCGAGGTTTCCTGGGAGCTTTTGCACCTAATTTTTTCTTGAGAGCATCTCCCAGTTTCTCAGTGACGACCCATTCATTTACTCTCCCTGCTTCAAAAAGACCTATAAATGTCGCCTTAGTCCGGTGCAGAGACATGACATTCTCAAAGAGGATCCAGAAAATCAATAGGTGGAGTGATCTGTAAATATGGCCTCGAAAGCATTAGCAATTAATAAGTAAATACAAACGAAAACATTTGCATATCTGTCAATGGAGAGCTAGAAGTTCTGCAGGTTTGCTACAGTTTATAACAGGTTGAAACAACAACGTTACCCACAGGAAACCCAAACCCCAAGAAAACACTGTGTTTTGGGTTGAAAAGCTAAATAGCTTGCCATTAATAATGCGACGTACCACAAGAGAAAAAAGAGAACTGGATCACTAAAAAAGGAAAAGAACAAAGGGGAGAGTAGGAGACCTAGGAGTTCCAACAGCATTGAGGAGAGTAATGGTAGAAGGAATGTAAACAGCACCCCAGATGGGAACTTGAACTTCAGGAACCAAAACCGTTGCTGGTAAAATGACACAGTAGAAGACAAATGTGACGATATGTGCTACAATTTTGCGAACAAAGAAAAAGCTGTAGATCACATGAAACTTCTTCAATGGGGACACCTTCTGCAATATATTGTAAAGTAACAGTGAGTATGAAGGAATAAACTTAGGCAAAAACTAAACAGATATGGTAGGGAAATACCTTGTTTCTCACAATCTCCATTACCATCTTTCTAAAGAGATTAGCAGGGCCACAAGACCATCGATGCTGCTGATAACGGTAGGCTTTGAAAGTACTTGGCAATTCATTTTTCACCTGAAATGTAGACAATTATTAATATGGGATCAAATGTGAAATGGACAATTATCACACAATAAGGAAAGTCCAATGAAACGTTGACCACCGGTTGCTCTCTACTCAGGTTGGTTAGTAAATAATTTTCCGTTGTTTTCCCAACATGTTTTCAGATTACATCTACAGTACCTGCACTATACATGCATGCATGCCTTTTTCTTACCAGAAACAAAGAAAGTATCATATGGGATTTGCTCATGTCAATGGAATTGTACTAAAACAGCATAATTTTATTTCCGAGGTAATTTATGAAACCACAATAACAGAGGATGTCTAATTCTAGCTCGTTGTAAGCTTCGGTAGCTAACTTCTTTGAGATTTCTTGATATTTCTGCAAGACTACAACCGTTTTAACAAACTTCATTACCTTAAGGTCAGAAAGATATACAAATTTCCAGCCTCTGAGACTAGCTCGGACTGCTAAATCCATATCCTCCACTGTTGTGCGGTCCTTCCATCCTCCAGCCTCATTGAGCGCTGCAATTCTCCACACACCTGCCGTGCCTGCATCACATTCCCAGTGTCATATCATTAATTAGGGATACTTGAAACTTTTCTACATAGCTCCGTTAGTAATTTTCAAAAAATAAAATAAGATTTACCATTGAAACCAAAGAAGGCATAAGTTGCAGACCCCACTTCTTGCTCCACCGTGAAATGGTAATCCAGTGACATCTCTTGCATTCTTGTCATCAAACACTCATCCGAATTTACTGCAATGCCACCAAGAAGCCATCATTATCCCTTACCCTTACCCTTGTGTCTTTACAACTCTATTTTCCTATATTGGATAACCAGTAAAGACTTATCCTCCCTCTCTCACAAGTTATTTCACAGCAGAATCTAAACAAATACAATTAAAAATCCATAAAATTGAAAACCCTGCAATTGTTAAGTGCTCGATTAATCGGGATTTGGTTTCTTATGCGTCAGCTAACTAACATATGTGGACTAAAACTTCTCCTGTATCTAAGCACTAGCTCTAGATTTCTATATCTTTTTTAAAGAAAAGAAGTATTGTCAAAGAGATCCAGAAACTTAAATCCAAAAAGCAATAAATTCATGATTCATAGCAAGGATGGTTGTCACCAAAACCAAACCAAGGCAGTAACGAGCATAATTTAATTAAATACAATAAAAACAAGATTAATCATAAGATTACCAAATTTCCAGCGAGCTTGAACAAGGGCAATATCAGAGTTGTGGACCAGAAATGGAACGGTGCGGTAGAGAAAATCAGGTTCAGGTTGGAAGTCAGCATCAAAGATGGCAACATAGTCACACTGTTTGACATAACTGTGCTTCATGCCTTCTTTGAGAGCCCCTGCTTTGTACCCATTTCTTTTGTCTCTGATCTCGTACTTTATGTTTATTCCTTTGCTTGCCCATCTTTGGCATTCTAGCTCCACCACGTCCTGTAGTTTTATTTCAGGCCAAAAACCCACATCAGAAATTGAAAGGTTTGTTGAGTGAATTGGGAAAGTTTTGGTCTTTATGTGTTTTGATGGGGAAATTGCTGCTTTGGACTCTTTTCCCAAAAGGGAATGCTTAAAGGAGGTCAAGTGGCATGGCTGAGTTTGGTTGGGTTGCCTTGTGGATTTAGAGCACGTTTGGATTGGTAAACATTAGTTAATAGATTTTGATTGGTTAAAATTTATCTATGAGGGTGACCAAGATGACTTTTTTTTATTCTCTTTCATAAACTAACATTTTCTCTTTGATAGACTAATCATTGAAACACTTTTATAAGATTTGACCCACAGACACTAAAAAAACTTTAAACAATATACAAATTAATATGAAATATTCTCTTATCAAACAGTCTAACATATTACGTGATAGAATTACTCGTATCAATTATTGATCATGTTTGTTTAAATGCCTAGTACAGATTTACACTTTACCAGAGCAATATGACATATCGGTCTATCAACTTTGGTTAAAGAATATGCAAAAGGAAAAAAAAATCATTAAATTAAATAAATGAGTTTGAAGGAAGAACCTTAATGGTTGGATCTGTTGAATCATCAAGAACTTGAATTATGATCCTATCAGAAGGCCAGGAAAGCCCACATGCAGCTCCAATAGAAAGCTGATAAACCTGCATCAAGCAGCAAAAAACAAATAAAAAAGACAAAAGAAACAAGTACCTCTCTTTCATTGTACATGGGAATTTGCACAAGAACCATGGGGTAAGCTGAGTTTCCCAAGCTCAACATCATCCTTAATGGCCTCCCATTTCCAATGCTTCACAGGCCTTCTTCTAAACAGCTTAATAAATATTATTATTATGCCCATGTACACCTTCTCCACAAAAAGCATCACAGACATGCACAAGCACACAAACACCAAAAACTTCAGCAATGGCACAATCAGTGGGGCTTTGGCTTGCTGCAAAACCAACCCAAATTGCCCTACTTGCAATGTGTCCATTGTAAAGAGAAAGCAATGAAAAAACTGATGGGACTAGAAGTGCTTTTTTTTTCTGGGTTTGGGACTAGAAGTGCTTATTGGTTATATATAGTAAAGGTGTTTCTCTGGCTTTGCGAAAAGAACAAGCTTCTTTTTCGCTCTGTTTAGCTTTTGGTGTGTTTGCAGTGATTTTTGCTTCTGAGTTACTTCAAGCTAATGCTGGAGAGCTGGATGTACTTGTGTCAGTGAATTTGGATCCGAGCACACTCTCTGGCTTTTATGATCACGAATGAAAGCTTGAAGAACTAAATTTGGACTTTACTCAAAAAATCACCAAGAAAAGCACAAAAACAAGCCAAACCTGATGAGAGAGAGAGAGAGAACCAAATATAATTAAGTATGTCTCTCTTTCTCTTCAGTAATGGCTGTCCTGCTCTGCTATTTATGAAAACAGAGAAGGCTTACTGCTTGAGGCTGCAAATTATGTGTGACATGCAGTGTATGTATATATATAAGGAAAAAGAAAAATAATAGCTATATGAAAAACAAGAGACAGGTCAAAATGATAAAGACAGTGGACCTGAAACAATGTCATATTCCGGCAGCGTTTGCAGTACAATTTACAACTATTCTGAAGAAAAGTAGAGTTGTTTATTAACATAAGTTGAGCCTCTAAAAATTCCTTTTGGCACTCCCATTTTTTCTTCTTAATATTAAATGCACATTAACTGGAATTGGCTAGTTTAGCTATCATTTTCTTGGAAGGTAAAACGTTGACTATACCTTGAATTAGACCTCAATTAATCGGGTCCTGGATTCATTTGGGTGCCTCCAAAAACCAGCTATGTTTATTTCTTCAGAAATTTAAATGTTCAACAATCAAATTTGAGGGTAAACGAGGGCTCGATTTAGACCACACATTCAAACAAAAATCTACATAATTAATTATTCAAAATGACAACCTGGCTAGCATAATATGCAACTCAGATTAATTACGTCTAGCATTTGAGGGAAATAATATGTCAGTCTATCATTTATTCAAATATGGATCCATTCTGAATCTTATTTGCTTTTAACGAGTAAGACTCTAACATGTTATAGTGAATAAACTTGGTTTTAAAAAAATCGGTGTCCCTAGTATCATTGCTTTTTAAAGAAATTCAACGTTCAATCGCCCTTTTTTTTTTTTTTTTTTTTTTTCTTTTGGTATTTTTTTTTTTTTTTTTTTTTATATTTTTTTTTTTAAAAAAAACGTTCAATGCTCAAAGAAATAACGTTCTATCTTTGTGTTTTTATTATCATTTTGCTTAAACAGTATCTTGACTGCTTTTTTCTATGGACTAGGTAATCTGTGGGATTTGAAACCATCATCCAAAAAAAAGTGAGGAAGAGTGATTCTAATTGAAGAATCATCACACCATTATTTTTTTGTTTACCCAATTATGCCATTAAACTTTTAGATCTAGTAGACCATGAAAGGGACCATGACTATTGTGTGCTTGTCTTGTACACAAGGTATGTCAACTTCCTCTTTACCTCTTTTGCTTATTATAGCAGTGAAAATAATTAAGCCCGCATGCATTCCCATCTCTTCGGCTGTTTATAAAAAAAGGAAATGATTGGGAAGGACCCTCTCTTATCTTACTGTCCACAATGCAGGTCCACTGTGACATGACAATAATTCTATGGTTATGATCATCTTTTACGGCATAGGGCAGACTTTGTGTTTAGAGGGAAAAAATGATTAGAAACACATTTCGTTTTCATGATATGCTAATTAAATTAAACATCCAATTCTTATAGTTGTGAAGTACCTTTCCTCTTGCCTTTCCCTTTTTACATTCTCTATTCATTTTATGCCGCTTAGTATTTATGTGTGAGTGGAATACACGTAACATGCAGTGAATAAGAAAAGCCAAAAAGGAAAGACAAAATAAAAAGGTAACTAGCATTTACGTCCCGTCTCGAATTAAAAGTTAAGTATTGTTAAGATAAGCATAAAATAGTCATTTCGGCTCAAAACCTAGGCCATAGCCAAGGTGAGATGCCTTATTATAATTGCCTCACTAATTTTTCTCAAACGGAAAAGTAATTGGGTAATTAGTAACAAAATTATAACAAATGTACAATGATGTATTTATTGAAAGCATGAAAATGGCATACACATTGACAATATAGAGACTGATGATGTGGCATTTTGGAAACCTGCCACGTATAGGCAGCACTTACAATTACTTTATACTTCATCGGAATTTTCCTCTTTCTACTTCTTGGATGGAAGACACCTGATAGCATTTGAATGTTGTGATAATGATATTTCTTGCTTTTAATAGAAATGTGGTTGTTCGAAGACAACAGTCAACAAACTCATAGGGGGTTTTAAAGAACAACCAAATGATTGATGCATGAAAACTATTTATTATTATTGAAAAATTATTTGAGCTGTTTTGTGATGACCATTTGATAGAGGGATGAACTATAATACTTACAAAGTGTTGACATAATATATATATATATATATATATATATATATATATATATAGCCATGAGAAATGGGAAACATGAGAGGTGTTCATCATGCGAAGCAGCTAGGATTAATCAAGTAGGAATAGTACACTTTTAAAATCTTTGTTTTTACTTTTGATTAAGAAAAAGATTATTTTATCTCATAATGAAAGATAATGAAAAAATTATTATTATGGTCGACAGTAAAAACAAAATCTGATAAATAAAAAAATAGTTTTTTAACATATAGGAGAAGTCCAATCCAGTCTTGTCCTAACCGGCTAATAGTCTCCCCCTCCCGTCGACACTCAACCCTACTTTATTTTTTACAAATTTATAAATAAACCCAATCCTAGACATGTATTTATAAAAAAACCCAAGCACTATTTAAACATAGAAACACACCCAAATCAACCCCAAAGTCAACTTTTTGGGTGTGTTTATAAATGAGTTTTGAGTGTGTGTAATGATGGGTTTTGGGTGTGTTTATATGTTTAAATAGTACATGGGTTTTTTTATAATTTCAATCCCCAGTTTGGGTATTTTAGTGAAACTCCCATTAGGAGAAGTCCAATCCAGTCTTGTCCTAACCGGCTAATAGTCTCCCCCTCCCGTCGACACTCAACCCTACTTTATTTTTTCCTTTTCTTAATGTTTCTGATAAAAATACACGCACAAAATATCTCATTTGTAGGTTTTTATTTTCCTTTTCAGAGCCCTTTGAATGTCAGGGGCAGTTCATAGATGTTAAAATATGTGGTGTGAGTATAACAAAAGAAACATGTGGAGTTGGACTCATACCTCTGGCAGATCTAACTGTAATGATCTCTATATTCTTTGATTCAAACCTTGGGACTTAAGTTTAGAAAGGTGTTTGAGTGTGTTTGGTTCAGGTGTCCAACTCAAATAATGATAGTTTGTGGCGGAATTTTAGAAAGAAAAGTTAGACAGTTGAGAAAAGTTAGATCAAGCAGAACTTAATTGGATTTCCTACATAATATGTAGATCAAAATTTTAGAATTTTCTGCAATAATTTCTTTGACCATAGTCTATTGGTACCTAATAAATTTGGTCTTGACCAAAATTAATTCGTGGAAATTGTTTTGACAACGATATGGTCAAGTGTTTGTGCTGCCCATATAGCCCAAAGCAGGTGGGAAGTCTCTTAATCTTTCTACTTTGGCAAACCCATGACAGCAGTCAGAAGCAACTCTCTCGTACCACATTTGAAATCGATAGGTTTGAACAAATTTGTCTGAAATTAATGCTAATGCAAAGTAATGTTGAAATATATAATCTGATCTCCTGATTAAACTGTAATACTTTTCACACTTGAAAATGAGAATTCAGAAAGTTATATATATAACATTGTATTCATTATTTTAGTATAAATATTCAAATATAATTGGCTATGCGTCTCTTAATATTGGATTCTACATGTGTCTCTCTATGATCAATTTAGTTTTCTGGTTAGGAGATAGAAGAGGTGGGGGAAATTGTAATGTCAACACATCGGTTCCAAACTTGTGTACTCTTTGCCAAAACTTCAGATTTGTCGACATTGGGTATAGAAGAAAGAGATTACTGGAAGAATAGATCATGACAAGTTTTCCCCGCAGACACAAGATTATGGCAACAACCATTCGTTACACTAGTCACACCTTCGAAAATACTTCCACCAACTTCCCGAGCGCACTTAATAGAGATATGTTTTTTACATTCTTCCTCTTCAGCTTTGATGCCTTTGAAGTTGGAATTGTGATAGAAGACGTTGGGGGAACTGTAATTTCAACACATCGGTTCCAAACTTGCACTCTCTTTTCTACAACTTCAAATTTGTTGACATTGGGTTTAGACACAAGAGCATAGTTGAAGAATATATCTGGCAAGTTTTGCCTACAGACTTAAGATTATGGCAACAACCATTCGTTACACTAGTCCCAACTTCGAAAATACTTCCACCAACTTCCCGAAGGCACTGTATGGAGATATGTTTTTTACATTCATCAAAGGTCTTCAAATTTGATGCTTTGAGGTTGGAATTCCAAAACCTGCAAAAACCATTCCAAATGGATTCACCAAAAGCAAAATGACCAACAGTGGATACATATTTACTGCTGCCATAGTGCTTTGTGGTACTGATTTAGTTTTTATTTTATTTATGAAATGGAAAGAAGTTTTGGATGGAGTCAAGTCTTAAGTACTTGTCCATTTATAAGATTTCTTGCAAGGGTTCAAGTGATTTGGGATATCAAAACGCTCTAGTACCTCATAAATGCATAACCTACAATATTAAAGACGAGATTTTTCAACTTGGTTGAGTTAAAATGCATCGTCTATCCATAATCGCTTATAAATGAACCTACTACTTTTACAACACTAATAAAGTCCATTGAGTTATACACATGGCAAAAATGTTTCTTGTTATGATAACGTATTTGTACAATAACAGGAGGCACTATGTAATTAAAGTATTGTATGTTGAAGAATAAAGTCCCACATCGGAAACTTGACGAAATAAAATATAACATATAATGAATGGTTCCACTACTAATTGTACCCAAGCCTTTTGTGATAAAACCTCACACCTATTGGCAAGGGTGGAACCAAAAAAATTTCAACGGGTGGGCTAGCTAAAGTTACTAGCTTAAAATATAATGAAAATTTTTTTTTACTTACATTTTCTATAGTTTTTCTAGAAATAAAAATATACATTAAATCATGCTAATTGTAAACACAAGAAAAAAAAATTAGAGCCATATTATTCACGAAAGGGTGAATTTCATTTAAAATAATGCTTCTCTTTTGGAGACAAATTGATGTTGGGACAAACTTTGACACCAAATACAAATGTGGAAGAACTCTAACTATGCCAATCGGTGTTGAAATTGTATATATATATATATATATATATATTAGTTAAAATATTAGGCTATATGTATATTTAATTTGTTTTTTTCCCAAACCTTCCCTGGGCTATAGTCAAGGACAGTCCTTGCCTTGGTTCTGCCCATGCCTACTGGACTTTGTAAGTGGTTAAGTTGAGGACAATATCGGTGTTCTTAATAGTGGGCCGTTAACCCGTTTCTTTATGAACAATGCAACATGAATTTCTTTATGAACAACAATATTTTGTAAATTCATCAACATAGTTCAGAATTGATTGTTCATTTGCTATTTCATTGTCTTTTGAATTTATTCTACTTCGAACGGAGTTTATAGTAATATTAAGACATTTATATGGACATAAAATGACAAAAATTGAAGGTTAAAATTGCTCCAACTGAATAATCAAATCCTACATGGATTTGAAGGCTGGAAAAGATGTCAAAAATAACATATCAAAAATCTTGATGTCAAATATTATTTTAATAATTTTTAAGTTATGGACAGCACTATTATTTAATCTCTTTTAAAACTTTATGCATCATATAGGCCCCATTTGCTTTTAAAAATATAATAAAATAATATGATATTGGCATTTCGGGTGGAGTTCAATAATTTTTCAAGATGTCAAATTGCCACATAAGCCATCAAATTCAAATTTAATATTTTGCATTTGACATCTCCTTTGGAGATGCTCTTAGACCACAAGAGTACCATTACATAGATGAATAATGCTGAGTCGCTGTATACAGAAAGCTCTCCCTAAGAGGTTCTTTACACCCCCTGACCCCCTTAAGGATAATACTCAGAGGCATTACTGAACTTGTGGACCTAGTCAGCTCTTATCCACTAGACCAAACCCCTTGAGTTATGCCAACAAAAAATTTTAATTACACATAAAATTACTTGTTTACATATAGCATTTTCTTTATGACAAAACAAATAGTTACGACATTCAAGTTAGTGGCGTATTCAAAGCGAATTCTTATGTCCTTGGAATGAATAAAGCGAAAGTTTATTTATATAGATTGAGCATTTGAATTTGGATCATTCATGATCAGCATGCTCAATTAGTACACATGAACAAAATAATGCAAACACCAATAGAAGTTTATTTTGAGAAAAATAAGAAAGGAAGGATAACGAATACGCTTTGAAAACCCATATTCCGGGTGTTAACCTCTCAATATTTTAAACCATACGAACAACATTATAGAGTCATTGGTAAAAACTCTTGAAATATAATCTGATCTCCTGATTAAAAGTAAGAAAAATTTGCACTCTTTTATACTTGAAAATGAAAATTCAGCGTTATATATAGCATTATATCGTTGTAGAAGTTCTTACACAAGTTGACAAAGCTAGCAAGATGAAATGTATCATAAACTGACAACATTTGGCAAAACTGGTAAGTGAGAGGAAAAAAGGTAAACTCAAATGTCAACGTTCCAGCATGGCTTATGAAAAAGACATTTTTCTTAGGGCTTCAGGCACTGCCTGCCCACATTGTTCAAGGATCTTCGTCAGCGGTCCAGCAAGCTCTGCGTCTTCTCTGGTAAACAAGCTATGCAATACGCCATTCACAGTGTAGCGAGCCATTCTCGTGAGGATTTGAACGTAACTCTCGATTGGAAGAGTCATATCGGGTATAATTACAACTTCATATTCACCTAATTCGGTTGTACCAATTTGGTCTATGTCAATCATGGAGACTGCAGGCCTTGCCCTGCCCTTGGATTCCACACTGAACAGATGACAAAGACAAACAATGAGTCATTTGCACAAAGAGAGGTATGAACATACATAGAGCAGCATCTACAAGACATCAAAAGGGAAGCAAACTCTTTCCTTTGCACGCACGCCAAGGTATCCGATCAACCTCGGTTTTTTTAAATGATAGATTAAGAGCATGTAAACCGAGAATGTACCTAAATTCTACCTTATAGTCCAATGTAAACTAATGTCTACCTTTTTGCATACAAGCCTTCAAATTTATGACTAGAAACTCAATTGATTGAACAAGTTGCCTTCAGTTTAAACCCTAAAGTTGGATAACAAACAAGCCCAAAAATATATCCATCATGAAAAAATGAAATGAAAGTCATCAGAAGCGTCCATGAAAAAAATAAAGAGTATGAACATCAACCTGTTCCCAACTTCTGAGAAAACTGAGTCAGGTGAGATGGAATAGCCCTTGAACTTTAGCGCATTAACTAGTTTATGATGCTTGTTATCTTTCCCTACTATATATAGCACCTTTGAAGCCTGATGACGGAGTCGACCACCGTAAGCCTGATCAAGAACTTGGATGGCCTGCAAAAGTATTTGACAGTATAGCTGAAAATGCTACTTCAAGGATATATTCCCCAAGAATACAGTTTAACTAACTGACAAATTAAATAAATATATAATTACCACGAATGCACTTTCTCCACTATAACTCAGCAACATCTTCTTACAAACTACTCATGTATTTTTTTTATTTTTTTTTCAACACGAGAGAGAGATTAAAAGTATTAATGCAAGTATATTTTATGGAATCCTTCTCACTTCTCACTGGGTACGGGAAAGAATTCTGGAACTTGCTCATGAAAAGAGTTCCAAGTTCCCCTTTTCAACAAACCAACCCTAAGTACTCTAACTATCATTACCATCCAATTCTTCAGATTAAGATATACATTGGGCATTGAGGACTACAGCTCACCTCCATTTTCAACTCTGGAAAGTTACCATCCTACAACAGTACCTCTAACCAATATTATCTTCTTCTTTTAAAATATATATATATCAAACTTCCTACATAAAATAAAATAATTATAGTAGCAAAATGAAACAAATTATGGAATGATTTTCTTTTGGAATTACAGTTAACCCCACAATTAAATTTTTGAGAAAATCATATACATACCTTCGGTAGTTTTTCTTTCATCAGACAAATGTTTACAGACTGAATGATGCATGCACTTTGACCGGTGACAGAATTATTTAGAGATAATCTATGGACTGATCCCATCAGAAGATTTTGTAACCCTCGTACACAGGCATGTCTATAGCAATTGCTGAAAACAACTGTATGGGTTTTTCCACTCATAGATTGGCGAATGGAGTTTATTTTATCAAAGCAACCTTGTTTATAGAAAGATTCCAGTCCATCAACAACCTGTTCAAGTGACAAGGGATGCATTACAAACTTTTTTTTTCTTTCTGAAAACAGGTAGAAAGAAAAGGAAAATAACATGTCGTGATGGTAACACTTTGGTGGATTGATGATCATTGATGAAAAAAACTGAACTGTTAGTTCTCATTGGTCTTCTGTTGAAATATACAATCCTATAATAAATAGAATGCTAAAAACAATATCGGCTAAAGGCCTCTGTAGCTAAGTAGACAAATTCTATACTTATGGACACACTCAAAAATATAAAAATGACAAAAAGTCCCCGGGAATCGAATATATGAAACCTTATGTAACAGCGGTTGTGTAGTTATACGTAAATAAGGTAATCAAACGTGCACCTGATATTAGATATTGCATAACAAATAAAAAAGTTCACAAACACATTACCAGCAAGGAAACACCAGATAGATCTACAGCCTTCAAGGAAAGAAGCTCTGAAAGTCTCTCAGGTGTTGCAATCATAAACTCAGGTTCAGAACTCTTCAGACTATTTATTTACAAAACCAAAATTTAATCAGCAACTGAATAAAGGCAAAACTGTATATGAAAGGCTAAGTAGATCCAGCACATACAATAAAAGCACAGAACCAACAACTTAAAGCTTATAGCTCTGCATACATAGTGAAAGCAAACAAACATGTGCATCACATGGAACAGCATCATTGTACATATATATATAGATATATAATAGTTTTTAAAACTTCAATGATAAAATAAAACTAAGGTGATGAAACTCACCAACTAATATTTACGTGGTAAGGTCAACAAGTACATAAAATGAGAAATCCTCCAAATACTCTTTATTTAATCGAACAGAAATAACATAAATATAAATAAATATAACGGATATGAAAGTTCCACACAAAAAACAAGGGTATCCAAATGGTATATGTCTCATCAAGAACCAATAAGGCACTGAACTTGAACAGTTTTGCAAGTAATCATTTCAACTCAACTGTCAATTGCATCCAGGTTCATAACAGGGTTTCAAGCAAAATGCGTACAGTTTTTTAATTGGACTTGGCCCAGCTAGGCTAGGCACACTGTACTTGAGTATATTAACTCCAACTTTATGCCATATCATAGGCACAAGGATGCCCATGACAAGAACTCCAGTATTCTGAATAACCTAATTATTGGCTTTGGATACTAATAAAAGGCCACTTGCGATAAACTTTGGGTCAAATCCACAATAAACATTGCCGAAATGACATGATCCTTAGGCACCAATTTCATAAGATCAGAGTTGATATTTACCCTTCAATCTGATGATCTAAGGAAGCACCAGGGTGTATACTCACTGTATGTATTCCAAGAACCTTCAAAGGTTTGCATACTGAGCGTACCTTCAAAAATATCAAACAACCAGATTAATCTTTTAATAAGGGCATAATGTCTATTATATATATTTAAATTAATATTTCATGTGATATATTATATCATGCTTAAATTAATATTTTTAAGCCCCCTATTTATGTCACTTTTATGGGGTCTATATTGAACCTTACAGTGTTCAGCCACTCAAACTGGTCTTTAAAAATTTCAACAATGATTGCTTAAAACCATTATGTAAAGACAATGAACTGAGAGGCAAGACCAATGATAGCTATGCTACTATATTACACAAACCTGGGTGGCTTTCTCCTGGGATGGAACAAGGAACAAAAGAAATGGGCTGGTTACTGATAGATCTTCTTCATCCTTTCCAGAAATTGAATCAGCAGCACTGGAAACCATCCATGCAATTTGCTCTATTGTAGAAGAAGTTCCACTTGTCTCTAATATATCCTTTCGAGCTGAATAACATTTCCAAAACTCAACTCCCCAAGTACTAACAAATAAAGGCTTGTCCTCCTCATTATTGTAGGTACCATCACAACGCAATGAATTTTCTATTGCATTCAAGCACTGAATCAGATACTTAGATGGACAGTCTAAGTTTTCAGAGACCTGTCCATGATGCCCATAGACGCCACCATTCCCACTCAGCTGAGTCTTTTTCCGTCCTGGGTCAATTTGGCTTTTCTGGGCCGTGCTATTAATTGATGTCAGTGATTTCTTTAGCTTATCCTTCAAACTTGTTACTGTCTCCTTTTCCTGCCCTGGATTATCTACCTTTTCACTATTTCTTAGAGTTTCTCTACTTTTTTCGTTCAAAAACACCTTCTCATGATTACGTGGAAGCATCTCTTTCTTGGTTGTTTTTCTTTCAAAAGTCTTTGCACCATTCCTGTCGTTGAAGGGATCATCAAGGGTAGGAAGGCTAAAGCACATACCCTGCAATGTCATGATAAATAAAACTGGTCTTAATTACTCAGGACCAGATATTCAAATCTAAATGCTTCCTGAAAATTCCTCAAATATAGGAAAACGACTGTAAAACTTGGCCTCACATATCACGTGGAAGGTAGCAACACAAGAACAACTTAGGAAGCCACCCAGTTGAAATGACAAAGATCAACACAGTTATACATTGACAACTTTTTTTGCAGAAAGGAGGTTAATTCAGAAAATAACTAGTAACAGAAGGGAAAACAAACTCAAACTAATCCATAGTAAATGTACAATCTTTCAAGACAAAACTCATGCGCACACACACAACTTATCCACCAATAGAAGAAAAATATATATATCCAACTTAGACTCCATATTGACACACCGCAAATAAATAAGCACAAAACCCAAAAGAATCACATTAAAAAAAAACCCATAATTTCATTTTCCATATACTTCAATGCAATCTTAACAAAATATCACAAACTGACATTCACATAAAAGAGATACGAATTTCTCTTTTTTGCTCCATGCGTTGTTTTTAATCATACAAAATAATCAAATTTAAGAAACCGTGTTACCCCAAGAACAGAAAGAAGAAATTATTTAAGAAACCGTGTTACCCCAAGAACAGAAAGAAGAAAGGCAAACGGCAAGTACCTGACATTTGCGGCGTTTACCAGAATGGCGGCGCTTCTTGGCGGCGATAATGGAGGCAACGCGAGCAGAAACTGCAGAGGAAGATTGGTCATTCTTGCGGAGTTTCTTTCTATTGGTCTTGTTCTGCTTCTTCCTCACTGCATCGTCACCTTTCGCCATAGCAGCAACGCTCAGAGACAAGGGAGGTTGTTCTTCTCTTCAAGTGAGGTCGGCGGTTTCCAGTGCGAGCCCTTTAGTGAGACTTTAGTTGCGGTTGGGGGTGTAAGGGTAGTTTGGTCATTTGAAAACTATATTGCAAGATTTGAGCTTCTGCTGTGTCTGAAACTGATGCTCGTTTGACGTTCGAGATGCGATGGTTCGCGACCTAGGAGGGAAGAACCATTTCTATTGCAAGCCCAAACTTCTTTGAGATGGGCTTTTTATTTCAATTAAGATTGGGTGGTCGAAAACCCACAACTGAAAACTGTTTACACGACACCCAATCCTTTTACCATTTTTTTTAGCTTATTATCACAAAACGTCCCTAAAGTTTACGAAACTATCATATTACATCCTTAATATTTTTTTGTGTCACTTGTGGTCCTCAAGGTTAGTATGTGCGATCACAAATGGTCCCTGCCTTAGGTTCAGTCAAAAACTCCGTTAGTTTGCTAACGTTGCATATATAAATATATATATATATATATATATATCACAAAACATCTCTGAGGTTCACACACTTATCACAAATGGTTCCTATGAAATTTTTTCATGTTTTTCATTTAAAATTCATAAAATTTTAGTTTTCTTTTTAAAATTATTTATAAATGAAAAAACCATTTATATAAGGATTTTAAATGAAAAAGCCATTTATATAAGGATTTTAATCTTGAGGGCCATTTATGAGCCCTAAATCCTTAATTTTTTTCATTTTTAAATTTTATGGATTTTAAATTAATTTTTAAAAACTCCATTAGTTTGTTGATGTGGCATATATATGGAGCCCACATCTACAATAATATAGTGTCACATGTATTTAAAATATAATATATATTTTTAAATAATTTAAAATTCATAAAATTTTAAAAAGAAAACCAAAATTTTATGAATTTTAGATAATAAAAAATTAAAAAATTTCACAAGGACCATTTGTGATAAGTGGGTGTTCTCAAGGATGTTTTGTGATATATATATATATATATATATATATATATGTCACGTCAGCAAACTAACGGAGTTTTTTACGAAACCTAACGGCAGAGACCATTTGTGATCACACATACTAACCTTGAGAATCACGAATGACACAAAAAAAAACATTAAGAATGCAATTTGATAGTTTCGTAAACCTTAGGAACTTTTTGTGACAATAAGCCTTTTTTTTATCTTTATCACAAAACATTCATGAGATTTGCGCAAATTATCATATTACCTCCTATTTATTTATTTATTTATTTATTTTATGTCATTCGTGGTCCTCATTAACATACGTGCTAAAAAGTAGTCTATGTCGTCTGATTCTGTCCAAAAATCTGTCAAAATGCATGTCTATATAACCAACAAGTTAGGGGGTGGACAAAGCGTGAAGATTCACTGCATATATGGGGACAACGACTGGCTTGCAAATTTTGGCAAATAGACAAGAAACTACTTGGAGCTTCAAACCTAATATATGGCGAAGCACATAATTTTAATGCAATTTGCAATAAGTAGAGATAGCTTCACATGTGAACGTGAATGTACTTATGTGATAAACGAGCATCACCAACTGTATGCTTATTATTCATATGATAATACGTGGAGACGGAGTATAAATCATTTAAGAGCATCTATAATGAGCTCCTTAAACCACCTCCTTAGACAAATTTTATAGAGGAATTGGAAAAATATAACTCCAACTATGCTCCCTATTCACTTCCTAAAATAGGGATACCTTTAGGAGCTCCTAAATCTAAGAAGAGAGCAAGAACTCCTAGTGGCTCCCCATAATTTAAAGCTGCTTTATTTAATGAGTATTTCAAATCTTTAATTAATGCTAACTATTTTTTATATTATGTTTTAATAGAGATGAACCAATTAAAAAAGAGTTATAGCATTTATAACTCCCTAAACTAGAGAGCATGATTGGAGTTTAAATTTTATAGAGAGCTCCTAATATAACTTTTATACGTTTTTAGCTAAAATTGAACTAAAATGGTAAATTACTCAAATTGTCCTCAAATTTGTACCCAATTTACATTTTGGTCCCTAAACTAAATTATTCGTTTAAATGGTCCACCAACTCTTTATTAATCGGCGATTTGGTCATACCGTTATATTTTCTGTTAAATTTAGTCATGTGAGTAGCACATGCTACATTTGTGGGGGCAAATAAGATTTTTGACCTATGTATCACCCCTTATCACCACTGTATCACCTATGTATCACCACTTTATCACCTATTTGGGGAACATAGGCTGGTTATGGACGGTTTTATCCTTACATTTGACGGCAACATTAACATAATGTAACGGTGGGATCAATTGAGTGATTAATATAGAGTTGATGGACCATTTGAACGAATAATTTAACTAATGGACCAAAATGTAATTCATGTATAAGTTTGAGGATCATTTGAGTAATTTACCCTTAACTAAAAAATAGAGAGCGTGATTGTGAATGCTCTAACAACCTCAACAATGATAAAGTTATATATATATATATATATATATTTTATAGAGATGGACCATTTACATTGAATTAAAAAATAATTATAATGTTTATGGCCCCCTAAACCAGGGAGCATGATTGAAGTACAAATTTTATAGAGACCTCCTAAAATAACTTTTGTGGGGTTTTAGCTAAATTTTAACTAAAAAATAGGAAGCACCAAAGTCCAAGCCCATTACTTGGAGTTCTTCCATATGGGTAAGCAAATGAGATACTTTATGGCGCCTCCTATTACCTGTGGGAAACAAGCCATTTTTGCCGCTCCTATTACCCATTGGCAACAAGCCATTCCCAATACTTCCTACCCGCTTGAAGTAATATGTTTTCAGCGCTTTCTTTTACCTATAGGAAATAATCAATTTTCCGATACATAGTTTTACCTATTGGAAATAAGCATGTCTTAATGCTCCTTTTTACTCGTTGGAAATACACTGGTTCCAACACCTACTTTTACCTATTGAAAATAAGGGAAGATCTTCGCCTTATATAATTTGGCATTCATGACCCAGGCAAAGGGACCCTTCTGTAGGTTGCTGCAAGCATCCAAGCAACCATTGACCCCTTTCCTTTGGCTATTGCAAGCATCCCATCCATAACCTACTCAAACGTTTCTCTCACCTTTCTATCATTGAAATCTTTATTCCCTATAAAATCCAGACATAAGCATAACCTCAAGCCTTTACTTCATCCTCCTATCTCAAGAACTCATAAACTTCTCTAAGAATCATAACCATAAACACCATAACCTTCAAAGTCCCAAGCTATGCATTACATCACCATAGTCAAAACGTTTTTAACCACCAAAATCTCCTAAAAACCTTATTCCCAAGCTCAAGAATAGCCAACACGAAAGGAACACACATGCATTCTCATTTGCTAAACTTGTGGGTCTCTAGCTCCCACACTTCATGCCTCTCATGCCAAGTCCTTTTCTAATTTTGTCTCAAGCATTGAATCTCATTTTCATTTCCAGTTCAAGGAGCCAATGAGGAGTCCAAACAAAGCACTCCCTAAGATCCACTATCTTTAGGAGTATTTTGGGCTTCGTTCTTGCTAACTCATAAATAGGGTACACAAAGGCTTGATGCACCTTATTTCCAGTGGTCCAGCAACCAGTAACATAGTCCAGCCTTCTAACAAAAAGACCCCAACAATCACCCAATTGTTCTTTGTAACGGTTGTTTTGGCGTATTTGTTTGCTCTTATGCATAGTTAGACCGTTGAAAGCCATGTTTTCCTCAGATCTATCACAAGTTTTGTTGCTTTAAGACTATATGAGGTGGTGGGTATAAACCGCGACAACGCTTCTTCAGATGATAGTGATAGTGTTCATTTAGGCACTTAAGTCAATTTAGGGTTTCATTAGCCTTGTTTGGAATTATGCTTAATGCGGTCATGTGGGGTATAGTAGTAGTATTTTTAGCATGTTGTTTTTCCCCTACTCTTCTCTGTCACTCTTTTATCTCATACTACCATCACCTCTCTAGACTCTCTCAAACTCTCAGTTTCAGCCGTAATCCCTAATTTTCATTTCGTCAGCCCATATCTCGAACTCAAACCCTAACCCAAACTGTGATCTCTTGTCTCTCATCTCTCACACTCTGTTTCTCTCTCAAACTCCCAGACGTCGCCGGTCAACCAGGGTCATCAACTGCTGTCTGCAAAGGGTAATCAAATTTTATTAGGACTCTCAGGTAAGTAGATTTCGTTCTACATATCAGCTAAAATAAATTTGGAATTTCAGATTCATAGTCTAAGCATGCCCAAATCGTTGGTTCAAATCCGTGAACCAAAACAGAGTCTTAATTTTGGGTTTTTTTAATTGTGAAATTAGCTCTTGGTCCTTGTATATCGTGGTGTTATCTTTCATGTTTGGATTTGGTTTAGTCATGAAAATTTCATACTTTCTTCTTTTATTAGATGTTGGGTTAGGCCAGGGTTTAGTAAGTGGGAAACTTTATGATCTTCCTGATGGATAATACTAATACTTTTCAACGTGGCTTTAAGGGTTGCTCAAATGGAGGATGCCCAAGAAGTATCTGAAACAATGTCAGACAAATCATCTGAAAATACACGGGAAACTCGCGATGAAATGCTTTCAAGGCACAGGTTGTTTGTTCATCATGTCTGCATTTTTATCAGTTGTTATCTTCTACTTATTCTTATGATGTTGTATTTGGCTGGTGGTTACATTGATAGTGCAAATAAGATCAGTTTAACTTCTATATATTTGCATTGATGAAATTGCGTTGGTGATGCATTTTCATGTTCTCCAAGAGGTGGTTGATATAACAAGAATGGCGATTTATTATATGTTCATTGAGGCTGGTGCCTTAAAATTGTTAAGGTCGACCTTGTTAACTTTCCCATAGATAGTTCTGTTATTCCCCTTTGACATGTCTGCATATACAGGAAAGAGATATCAAAACTTCAGGACAAGGAAACTGAAATGAAGAAGGCAGCTGCCAAAGGGAGCAAGGCTGAACAAAAAGCTAAGAAAAAGCAGGTGGAGGAAGAGATTTCTCGGCTTTCTGCTAAGCTTAAAGAAAAACATGCTGAAGAACTTGCTTCATTAGGCTATAGCACTAGTAATGGAACTGAGAAAGCCAAACTTGACAATTTAGTGAAAGCCATAGCTGGTGTTTCTGTCACCAGTCAACCTGACCAAGCAAAGCCCAGCAAGAGTTCAAAGAGGCGGGACAAAAGGGCTCAGCAAGATGCAGCTAGGGAGCAAAGAATTCAAGAAGAGCAGAGCAACCTAGTAAGTGATCGATTGATTGAGAATGAGAAACTAGCGAAAAAGCTTGAACCGCTTGGTTTGACCATTAATGAAATAAAGCCCGATGGTCATTGCCTCTACCGAGCTATCCAGGATCAGCTGGCCCATCTTTCCGGAGGTTCATCACCGTACACGTACCAAGAGCTTCGGGAAATGGTGGCTGCTTATATGAGGAAGCATGCGTCTGATTTTCTCCCATTTTTCTTGTCAGAGAATCCAGTAGATGGAGATTCTGGGGATTCACTTGCAGAGAGGTTTGAGAACTACTGTAAAGAAGTGGAGTCAACAGCGGCATGGGGAGGACAGCTAGAGCTTGGTGCTTTAACTCACTGCCTCAAAAAGTGTATCATGATATACTCAGGATCCTTCCCTGATGTGGAGATGGGCAAGGAGTACAAATCTGATAGAAGCAGTACTGGTTCTTCTGATTCGAGTATTATGTTGTCGTACCATAAGCATGCATTTGGGCTTGGTGAGCACTATAATTCTGTGGTCCGAATATGATCATCGAATAGGTGCCGCAATCCACGACAAAAACACACTTGGTTTGCTCATCACTTGGTTTGTAATTTGTGGTGTGAACAGGCACGTTTTGAGCTCTACATTAATTATTGATACTACAGTAGACTGGTTATATTCAGATTGGTTCTCCCTTTAAGTTTTCTAAATTTTCTGGACTAAGTTTTGTAGCCAAAAGTTTAGTAATCCAGATGCTTTAGAAGCAATGTTCAATGCTGTCAAATCTGTAATTGGCGGTTTGTTCCTGATTATTGTATTATTCTGGGAGTTTTGAAAGGAATGGAATGTCATGGAAAGTTGTAATGAAAAGGGAATGAAATAAGGAAGGGAACAAAATCTTGTTTTTGTAATTTTATCATTGTATCTCTATTAGTTTCTTCTTTTCCTTTTGGATGGTTATATATTAGTTGTGAAGGATGCAGCGGTTGACATCAAAGCAGGTATGACTCATTAGTGTCATGTGTTGAAAATTTGTTATGGTCTTTATTTGGCACTTTTTCTCTTCAACTCCCAAGGTACTGGACTCCTTTTCAGTCAGATTACTGTCACAGCTAAATATGCAAACTACTTTGTTTTTTCAGGAAATGTTTTTTTTATGGTTTTGTGGGTTTGATCTGCACTCTACTGCTCTACTGCATAACCTTTATTCTTGTTAAATTTTGATTCTATAAAAAAAATAGAACGTTTTAAAAAAGGTATTGATTTTCCCACTCCTTTTTTATCCACTTACATTATACTCCATTTTTTTAAAATTGTATTTTATCACTCATCTTTTGTTCACTTACACTCCTTTTTATTTATAGTAAAAGTATTAAAAAAGACAAAATGGAGTGTAAATGAATAAAATGGGAGTGAGAAAATCACCACCCACCCTTTCGACCAAAAAATATATTGAGTCTCTTTTGAAGATTATTTATATGACGCTGTTTATGCTTTGTCGTTGGTGTATGTAGTGCAAATGAGGTTAGAAATGGGGAAAGGAAATTTAATGCCAATGAACAACATGTGGTTTATGCCGATAAATTCGATCTCTCGGCTGACAATGAGAAACTTAGAGCACATTTGCAAGGTGGAAGGTCATGGAATTAGAGAAGCTATGCAAGAAAATGCAAAATCAAATGGCAAAGTTTACAAAATCAAGAGCATCAAGCCAAATAACAACAAGAGAGTCTGAAATTGAACTCGCTTAGGCCAGTTCGAAGATATTTTGTCCAAGATACCATCAAATAAAATCACATGTTGAACATTTTGAGGTCCTCTTGGTCATATCATGTCATATTTTTTACAAAACGTGTCCTCTGAAATTGAACTCACTTAGGCCAGTCCAAAGATATTTTGTCTAAGATACCATCAAATGTTGAAACTTTTGAGGTCCTCTTGGTCATATCATGTCATATTTTTTACAAAAAGTGCTTTTAAATTTCGTCAAAAGAAAGTAAAGTGTTGAGAACGTGACTTACTAAAAAGAGGAATGAAATGACAAAGAGGCCCTTAAAAGTGACTCGTGTGTTCAACACTTGACTTTATTTGACGGCATCTTATTAATTGGAATTGTCAGGACTATGATTGTGAGAGTAGATTGACCAGTTTTATATAGTTCCGAGGAGGGAGGGGGAAGGGGGAATTGATAATATCTACATATATAATCTGAGGAGAAAACATCATTTGACTCTAATGTTAAACAAAAACGCATTTTCTCACAGTAAATTAAATAAGTATACATTGCTTTAGGATCTCAAACCTCTCCATGTAAATTGTACGTAGTTGTTTCTTCATATAGCGAAAACATGAAACAAACCCACACCACACTTGGGTGAGGCACTGTAAAATGATTGCTTTCAGGTCCCTATTTAATCGTCACTGTTATGACTTTTGAGACCATAAATAGACAAAATAAACTCAGACCAAAAACGCACTGTAAAATTATCGCTACAGAATTTTTGTTTAGCCTTACAAAACTGGTCAATCTACTCACGATCATATCTCTAAGCAATTTTATCTAAGATACCATCAAATAAAATCACGTGTTGAACCTTTTGAGGGCCTCTTAGTCATATCATGCCATATTTTTTACAAAAAGTGCCCTTAAATTTCGTCAAAAGAAAGTCAAGTATTGAGAACGTGACTTACTAAAATGAGGCGTGAAATAACGAAGAGGTCTCTTAAAGGTGACTCATGTGTTCAACAAGTGACTCTATTTGACGGCAGAATTGATAACATCTACATATAATCTGAGGAGAAAACATCATTTGACTCTAGTGTTAAACAAAAATGCATTTTCTGACAGTAAATTAAATAAGCATGCGCACTGCCAAACAGAGATATCTTAATCCATTGTCGCTTTAGGATAGCCCATCATTTGAGCAAGAAGCACATATTCTACATAAAGATAATAACCAAATTGTATCCTAGTATAATATGCCGTTGGCGGACGGCTTTCTTGACTTGTCTAAAACAGTTTTTGAAATAAGAACGCCTCTTTCCAATATGCCGTCGTTGTGCAAATGCATCTAGCTTTTATATATCATTTCTTATGGTGTATATATTTCTTCATTTTATTTATTTATCTTAACTTTAGCATCCAACAGTCCAAAGTGTATGGTTAACTTTGACTTGGGCATGGCTGTCCCTTTCTTATATCCCCAGGCACTGGATATACTTACGTGTCACTGCTCTCACCAGTCCCCAAGTACTGGATATACTTATATGTGTCACGGCATTCACTGAAGAGAGAGAGAGAGAGAGAGAGAGAGATGGGAACGGTGGCTCCAAACTTGATGGAAGTATCTGCAACTGCAAGTGTTCACAAGGAAAACGGTGTGGTTGCCAACCCTCCAAAAGAGCTTGATGCCGGAGCCTTGTTCGTCCTCAAATCTCAAGGTTATTAGTGCTTAGAACTTAGTACATGATATGATATTGTTTGATTTTCTTTTTACTTTATGCCGGAGCTTTCAGTACTAGGGTTCTATTTTCTCTTTCCTTTTCTTTTTTGGGCTTTTTAGGAGTAATAATTCTTAACTTTATGGCCAATTTGCATTTTGGTCTTCCAACTTAATTTCATTTCCTCTTCCAACTTAATTTCATTTCCTCTCTTACTGTTGATCCTGTCGTCATATGTTGTCATATTTGTTACATTTTCTGTCAAATTTAGAGGTAAAATTGTCATTTCAAGTCGAGTCCGCTGGAGTTTTCAAGAACAATGGTCCTTGAACTTATACTCGTTACATTTTGATCCTCAAACTTGAAAATTAGCTGTTTAGTTCCTTAAATTTGACGGACCAAAATACAAATTGGCAAATGTTCAAAGCTCTATGAGATAGAGATATACTTATAAGATGTATTTATCTACTTCTCCGTCACTAAATGTTTTGTATGTGGGTGGTTTGATTTGTGGTATAGGGTCGTGGTTGCATTGTGGGTATCACTTGACGACGTCCATAGCGGCTCCCGCGCTTCTAAGTCTTCCCTTTGCGCTCACCTTGCTAGGCTGGGTTGGAGGACTCATATGCCTTGCCTTGGCTGGTTTGGTCACTTTCTATTCCTACAATCTTTTATCTCTGGTTTTGGAGCACCAAGAAAAGCTTGGACATCGTCAGCTTCGCTTTCGAGACATGGCCAGAGACATTTTAGGTGAGTGTAATTGTTATTTTAGTGTTTTCTTGAAACAATATCGTGTATGTCGATTTTGTTGATAACAACTAGATGCCTCAATAGTTTCCAATTTTTATATATATTTTTTTCTTCTAAAGATATCTATGAACGAAGACTTAAAACATAAACGGTTTGAATCGTTGAAGTGGAATTCATAGTGGATCCCACATAATGTCTATTTGAGGGATCCCTTTATAAAATGAGACTATATATATTTATGCATGTGGTTAATTTCATGTGTTGCCAGGTCCTGGATGGGGCAAATATTTTGTTGGTCCTTTGCAATTTGGGATATGTTATGGTGTTGTTATTGCTTGCACTCTACTTGGAGGGCAGAGCCTTAAGGTTAGTGTGCCCCCTAGATTTGTCATTAGTACATTTTTTAGTATATACCTCATGTCTACACTTCTACTTTATGGTAGTGAACTTGGTAGATTTATGTATAAACTTAATATATAATTGTCTTTTCTTGGGTTTCTTTGGCAGTTTATTTACCTGCTATCCAACCCAGATGGGAAAATGAAGCTCTACCAATTTATAACTATGTTTGGAGGCGTGACACTATTTTTGGCTCAAATGCCATCCTTCCACTCCCTAAGGCACATAAACCTTGTATCTCTTATCCTTTGCCTTGCATACAGCGCTTGCGTCATGGCTGGTTCTATATACATTGGTATTATTAGGGCATATTTGATAATCATTTCATTTTTAATTTTTCTCATCATTTTTTCTAAAAGCTGAAAACATGTTTGGTAATAATTTTTCGTTTTCTGTTTTCAAAAAAGTGAAAACTAATTTTCAAGAAAATATACATTTTTTTTTCTTTTGCAGGACATTCTAATAAGGCTCCTGTAAGGGACTATACCGTGAAAGGAAGTGCAAAAGACCGCAATTTTGGTATCTTCAATGCCATTTCAATCATCGCTACTACATATGCAAGTGGAATAATTCCTGAAATACAGGTATTTGACCTATTTTTCATTCATTTACTTGCTTAAATTGTAGCTCATGAGTTGAAACTAGAAAAATGTTTTCTTGTCAAACAATCAAAGAAAAATTTGTGAGATTGTTCGTGTGATCACATGGTGGTGTACAAAAATTATTTATCATGTTAATACGGACATATTCATAAGTTTTGGCCCACACCATAATTTATTTCATGATCCGAATCATTTTCACTTTTTAATTAGGTGATCATTGATAGATATTAATTATCTAAGTGTAACTAAATAAAGAAGCGAACACAATGTTTTTGATAAACAAGTAAATAACCGCAGTAATAATCAAGTGGTTGAACGATCAATCTTTCATTTGGATGAAATTTCACAAGGGTGACCATTGAATGAAGTATTAAAAAGTTAGGATTATGACTTTACATTGTGGAGTAGTCCCAAACGAGTAACTAGCGGCATATGAACTTACTGGTTAGCGCTTGCGCGCTCTTGTATATATATATGGGCCAGAATAACAGTTTGATAATAGAGTAGGTTAGATTGTTTTCCAAGAAAACAACATTGCCATAACGACAATCAATTATTTCTTTAATTGAAAGATAATGAGCTAAGAAATCAATCAATTATTTCTATATTTGAATTCAATGGGCTAAAGATGTATCAAACTTGCAGGCAACTTTAGCTCCTCCGGTAAAAGGCAAGATGTTCAAAGGCCTATGTGTTTGCTATAGTGTGATAGTGACAACATATTTCAGTGTGGCAATCTCTGGGTACTGGGCGTTTGGCAATCAAGCAATGGGAACAGTTCTTACTAATTTTATGGGTGATGAGAAGCCTTTACTGCCTACCTGGTTTTTGCTCATGACCAATGTCTTCACTCTTTTGCAAGTTTCTGCTGTCACAGTGGTAAGACAAACAGAAAAGCTATAGCTTCAACATTTCTTATCCAAAAGCCCAAAATAACCTTACTAATTACTTTTCCAATTATAAAAAATTAATTTTAAAATGGACTTTTCTGGGTAGACTTTTAAGCCCACAAGAAACCCAAACGCTAACCAACATGTTTAGAGCCTTAACATATGTGCATCTTAAAACCAATAAAAAAGCATATTACACGTGGGTTAAGTCAGTTGGTCAGGGCAGTAAGTCTGTCTTTTACACTCAAGTTTAAATTTTCCTTCACATAAATTAGGATTTAGGATTATTTAATTTCTTTGATCGATAAATTTAGGAGTATAATTGGAAGTTTGGATATATTTGTGGGTGATGGGTGCACTGATCAAATGCTTGAGTGCTTTTAGAAGCTCCATGCATCTTATTCCACAAGACTAACATGAGTCTGTCTATCTGTAGGTTTACTTGCAGCCAACAAATGAAGTGTTTGAGAAAAAATTTGCAGACCCAAAGATGCCTCAATTTTCCATCCGTAATGTTGTGCCGAGATTGATTCTCCGGTCACTGTCCGTCGTGGTAGCTACAATATTTGCTGCAATGTTGCCTTTCTTTGCAGATATCATGGCCTTGTTTGGGGCATTTGGATGCATTCCTCTAGACTTCATTTTGCCAATGATTTTCTACAACGTAACTTTCAAACCCTCCAAACAGAGCCTTATTTTTTGGGTGAACACATTGATAGCAGGAGTTTCCTTCTTGTTGGTCGGGGTAGGGGTAGTGGGATCTGTTCGACAAATAGTTCTTGATGCCAAAACATATCGCTTATTTGCTAACATGTAAAAAATAGTGGAAACAGTACGTATCTCCTTTCAATATCTATAAATGAAAATTCGGAGTCTTTTAGATAGGGAAATATTTTTGCTGTCACTTTAACTTAAAGTGTATGCTTACCACCCTTCTTAATACTTGACATTGTTGGCATGAGTCAACGTTCCTATTAGGAATATAATTTCTGTTTTATTGTAATTATCTAATTTGAGTAGAATTATGAGATTTTGTACATATTTCTTATTTGTAACCACTCTGTATGTAATATATATATATATATATATATATTCTTCCTTGAGAGAAGAATAAATATATCAGTTTTAAACCCTAATTATTTTGAGTTGGTATCAAAGCGGGTTCCGATCTGTCTCTACAACATCAAAACCCTAATTCTAAAATACATATTTCCGTTGCACCTAGCCTATACACCTATGCCTGTGCTGTCTTATATCTCTTACTGTCGTCATCGTCACCTAATCTTTTGCTGCCGCCACTATCTATCACCATGTCAGATGTCACTGACTCTTCTTCTTCTACTCCTATTATGACAGTTTATACCGAATCGTCCACCAACCTACCTATGGGATTCAAATTGAATGGATCCAACTATGAGATATGGGCTTCGATGATCGTACTCCATGCTACTACACAAGGCAAATTGGGTTACCTGACTGGCGACACTGATGCCCCCGATTCCAAAGACCCAAAATTTGGGAAGTGGAAAATTGCTGATGCTATTGTGAAAAGTTGGATGTTGCGAACTATGGAACCCAGTTTGTTGAATATGTTTCATACTCTAACTACTGCTAAGGAAATTTGGGATGCTGTTAATCAATGTTTTATGATGGCTCTAACATATCACAGCTCTATGAATTGCGGTGTCAGGCTACCCGTCTCAAGTAAGAGGGTCGTTTAGTCTCTATCTATTTTGCCGAACTTAAGGCAATCTGGCTTGAATTTGACAAGAGACGTCCTTTTCAGATGAAGTGTGTTGATGATATGAAGACTTTTCATGCTGCTGTTATGGCAGATTGTGTGTGATTTTTTGGCTGGCCTTGACGGTACTTATGACAAGGTCCGAAGTGATATTCTACGAAGTGATAAAGTTCCAAGTATCGAAAATATATTTTTTTATGGTTCGTCGAGAGGCTCAACGCCAGATTACTATGCTTGGATTTGGCACCAAGATTGGGGAACCTGCTGTTGTGTTTGCTTCCAAAAACACTGCTTTGGTTTCTCAGCGTACAGGGTCTGGCTCTTCTGCTATTCCGCCTCGTCGCCTGACTTTTGCAGAAAAAGACAAACTGAAGTGTGATCACTGTGGTGAAAAGAGACATACTATCGACACATGCTGGGCATTACATGGGGTACCAGATTGGGAGAATGAGCAGAGGCATTTAAAAAAGGAACAACTGGATAGCAAAGCTCATGTGGCTGTTGCCCCCACTTCTATGGCTGACATCACCACTAGGCACAACCACCTTATTGCTACTCCTCCTCCGACTTTGACCGCCATCTCAAGCACTCCAACACCTCCGCCTTCTGGTAGCTTTGGCAAGGCTTTCCATGCCCATGATACCCGAGATACAGGTTGGATTATTGATTCAGGAGCTACTGACCATATGACGTATAATTCTGCTTTATTCTCTACTACTCTTCCGCCTCATCATGATCATGTTCTGACTGCTAATAATGATGCTGCTCCTATCACGAGTGTTGTTTCTATACTCTTGACACCTGCTTTACCATTGGACAAAGTGTTACTAGTTCCATCTTTGTCTAGTAATTTATTATCTGTACCGCAAGTTACTAAGCAGTTAAACTGCATTATACTAATGCATCCGTCTTTTGTCTTACTACAGGATATCCAGACTCGGGAGATCTTTGGTCGTGGTACTAAAAAGGGGGGGCTTTATTATGTGGATGATGTGGCAACTAGTCGGGTTCTTCGTGCTGGTAGCGCCGAAACTTCTCAGCATCGCCGAATTTGGTTGTTACATTATCGATTTGGTCATGCCTCATTTGGATATTTACGGCATTTGTTTCCTTCATTATTTAGTGGTGTCAACGAGTCTGATTTCCAATGTCTGACTTGTATTTTAGGTAAGAGTCATCGGGTATCCTACCCTCCAAGTTGTAATAAACGACTTATGCCATTAGATTTAGTTCATTATGATGTTTGGGGACCTTCCCCAGTTTCTACAGCCTTGGGAGTTCATTGGGTTGTGTTATTTGTGGTGATTGCACTCGTATGATGTGGTTATATGGGATGAAAAATAAAAGTGATGTGGTCGAAATTTTTCAGCGTTTCTATCAGATGATTCAGACTCAATTTATGCTCCCTATCAAGATTTTTCGATCTGATAATGGTGGAGAATTTGTTAATTCAACGTTATCCCATTTTTTTTCACACTAAAGGAGTACTCCATGCACCTGCCCTCAAACACCACAACAGAATGAGGTTGTTGAATGTAAAAATGGGTAGATCCTTGCTGCTGCCCGTGCTCTACTGCTTGGTGCATCAGTTCCAAAGCGGTTCTGGATGGATGCTGCTACCTATGCAGTCTATCTCTTGAATCGTCTACCTTCACGAGTTTTGGATTTCCAAACTTCTATGCAGGTACTGACCCATCATGTCTCTGCCTCTTCTATGTTGACTCTGTTTTGAAAGGTGTTTGGTTGTGTCGTCTATGTTCACCTCCATCAGAATCAGAGGAGTAAGCTGGACCTATGTGCTCTCCGTTGTGTCTTTCTGGGTTTCTCTCCTCATCAGAAAGGTTATCGATGCTATCATCCTGCAACCCGACGTCTATATGTCTCTATGGATGTTACCTTTGTTGAGGATGAAATGTTCTTCTCTGATACACCCGAGCATGTCCTTCAAGGGGAGACTAGTAGTGAAGGACATAGCTGGCTAGATTTACAAGGGGAAGTAGTATTGGATAGTTTGATGCAAAGGGAAGAACCGACTGAACCTGCTGAACCTACTATTTTAACTGATGTCACTACTGTTACTGAATTGATTGCCCCCCATGAAGCTTCTCTAATAGTACCCGATCAAGCTCCCCTGGATATTCCTGAGGTAAGTGTTTCTACTCATACTTCTGATAATTCTTATGTTTTATGGCCTAGACGAAACCGTGGGGTTCCACCTGATCGTTACTCACCAAAAGGCAAAGCGAGATATGCTATTGCCCATTATGTGTCTAATCACAGGTTATCTCCTAAGTGCAAAGCGTTTGTGACCAGAATGGATAATATTAAAATTTCAACCCGTGTTGAGGAGTTATTTAATGATCCAAAGTGGGCTGAAGCCATGAATATTGAAATGAAGGCGTTGCAAAAAAATAATACATGGGACATTGTTGATCTACCAAAGGGAATGAAGCCTGTAGGATGCAGATGGGTGTTTACAATTAAATATAATGCAAATGGTAATGTGGAGAGGTACAAGGTAAGATTAGTAGCTAAAGTCACTCAGACATATGGAGTTGATTATCATGATACTTTTGCACCTGTGGCTAAGATGAATACTGTCATAGTTTTGTTGTCCTTAGCAGTAAACTTGGATTGGACCCAGAGGCAATTTGACGTAAAAAAATGCATTCTTACATGGTGAACTAGAAGAATAAGTGTACATGAGTCTTCCACCAGGGTATAGGGTTACCGGTGAAACGGGGAAGGTGTGAAAATTGAAAAGGCGTTGTACGGGTTAAAGTAGTCTCCTCGGGCATGATTTGGCAGATTTACCACAGCTATGAAGAAGTTTGGTTACCGACAGGCTAATGCTAATCATACTTTATTCATTAAACATAGGGCTGGTAAGGTGACTTTGTTGATTATTTATGTTGATGATATGATTGTGACTGGTGATGATACTGTAGAAATCGAGGAACTGCAGAAACGTTTAGCATCTGAATTTGAGATGAAAGATTTGGGCAGTCTGAAATATTTTCTAGGAGTGGAAGTCACTCGATCTAAACATGGCTTATTTCTTTCACAAAGGAAGTATGTCATGGACCTGCTAGCAGATACTGGAATGCTTGACTGTAAACCAGCTGATACACCTATTGTTGAGAATCATAAACTTGGTGTTTATGTGAATCAGGTCCCAACTAACAGAGAAAGATATCAAAGGTTAGTTGGGAAATTGATTTATTTATCATTGCCACGCCCTGATATTGCCTATTCTATAAGCGTTGCTAACCAATTTATGCATTCACCTAGTGAGGATCATATGGCTGCTGTGATGTGTATTCTGAGTTATTTAAAGTCTGCTCCTGGGAGAGGTTTATTATTTAAGAAAAATGGTCACTTGGATCTGGAGGGTTACACTGACACAGATTATGCCGGGAATATTACAGATAGACGTTCTACATCAGGTTACTTCACCTTTGTTGGTGGTAACCTAGTTACGTGGCGTAGCAAGAAGCAAAACGTTGTGTCTCAGTCCTCTGCAGAGTTTGAGTATAGAGGGATTGCCTAAGAGGTTTGTGAAATACTGTGGTTAAGGTGGTTACTTGCTGAAATTAGGTTTAGACCGAATGCTGCTACAAAGCTCCACTGTGTTAATCAGTCTGCATTTGAAATTGCTACCAATCCGGTGCAACATGATCGAACTAAGTATGTAGAAGTTGATCGGCATTTCATTAAGGAGAAGCTGGATCATAAGTTAATGGCTTAAGTGTTACAGTGCCCCCTGGAACATTGGTCAATTCTCACTTTACCCCCTCAAAGTTAAAGTGACCCACTTTGCCCCCTTGACCAATGTTTCGTGTTTAACTTAACCATTTTCCGTCTACGCCATTCCAAATTCCGTTAAACCAATGATGTGGCAGGGGTAGTTTGGTCCATTCAACTGAGCTGGGATTTTTCCCACCAATTTGAGGGTGTGACGTGTACATGTGGAGCCCACCTCTAACATCTGATATAGCTCCAACGGATTGATTGCCTGCTGATGTGGAATTTGGGGACCCATCTAACAAAACAGCCACGACAATCAGTGTTAGAACTCAAAAATGAAAACATAAAATCAGATTGGGAGGGAAAATTGAGATTTGGGGATTATAGATCTAGGGTTTGAGAATAAGGATCGAGAAAGGGAGAGCGGTCTCAGTTGGTTTCGACAACTACTTGAAGGCAAAAAGAAGCGACGCGACTTACTCAACTCGACGACGATGCCCGTTTGGTGAGAAGCAGGAGCAGGGCAACCTGTGTGCAGTAAGTGATTCTTCTGAAAAGGGACTTGTTTTCTTAAAAGGAATCTTGTCCTTTGACGTGGAAAAGAATCTTGACATGATAGTGATACGCATTGTGTAGAAATTGATAGGGTTTAGGTCTTTTTGTGTTATGTGTTGTCAGTAAAGGGGGTTCTAAAGCAGTATACCTTTCCTGATGTGGTCCCATTTTTGTTTTCTTCTAGTTAGGTTTGAATATGTTAATCGAACCATGGTTATTGTCTTGCTTTTAATAAGTGTCTTAGAATACTATTTAGCTTTTTTTAAAAACAAACCCTTTTTGTTTCTGTGTAGAGGACAAAGAATTTGTAACTTTTGAAGTGCATCATGGTGGCAGAATTGTGAAAAACAAACAGAATAAGTGGTGTTATACTGTTGGGTCTGTAGGATATTTGGATTGGTGTACTGTAGAGTATATAAATATGTTAGAGATGTGGGAGCAAGTGAAACTGCTTGGGCACATGGGGAAAGTATCTCTTAAAGGAGTAGTAAATGAGGAGTTACTGGATATATACAGGGATGCTGATCTGTTAAGTTTGTGTGATAAGGTACCACTTTCTTATAAGAGAGTGGTGCTGATTTATGTACAACACATTGAAGAGGAAGGTGTTGCAGTGAATGAGGATTGTGAAGAGGTAGCTGTGGCATTGAATGAGGATAGTGAGAATATTGGGCCTGGTAGTGGTGAAAATAGGGCTTCTACTGAAGGCAGTAAGCCACTGAACAATGAAAAAGAGGGCCGGCCTTTTACTGAGCATCATGGGCCTGCTTGCAGAGTTGAAGACTGGGTTTCAAGTGATGATGATGGGCCCTTGAACAATGAGGGTAGTAGGGCTGATATAGGTGACACTGATGTGGAAGACAGTGAAGAAGAAGACAAGGAAGAGGACCCTGATTTTGTTGACAGTGCTTATGAGTAGAGTGAAAATGAATGTGAGTTGTTGAGAAATGACGATAAAGCATTTGAAAATTATGTAGACCAGCCAAAAGTAGTTAAAGACCCAAATGCCCCTGTAGATGAAGATCGGGAGTCAACTGATGTAGCTAAAAGTGATGTTGAGAGCTTGTATAGTAGCTCAGATGATGAGGATGATGGGAACCAGAAGAAAAGGAAGAAGAAATTGCCTACATTTCAAGATTTTAGGCCTGAAATAGACATGCGCAACCCTGTGTTTAAGCTGGGTTTAAGGTTTGCAACCACTGACCTATTTAGGAAAGCAATTAGGAACTATTCAATTGTGAACAAGAGGATGATTAAATTCAAATGCAATGATCGTGATAGGGTGAGGGCAGTGTGTGCAGGAAATTGTAAATAGGTTTGTTTTGCTTCAGCAGTTAATGGTAGTGACTGGGTTCAAGTGAAGAAATTGGTTGATGAGCATGATTGTGAGACAGTTGATCACAACTTTTATGCTAACTCAACATGGTTAGCTCAGAGATATGCTACTCAACTGTCTAGAAAGCATAATTGGGATATGGGAACTTTTAAGCAGTAGGTACGAGAAGATTTGTCTGTGATAGCTTCTAAATCCCAAATATATAGGGCAAGGCAGAAGACAACATCCATATCTTAGGGGACTTATGAAAAACAATATGAATTATTTTGGGATTATGCTGCTGAACTAAGAAGGACAAATGTGGGTAGCACAGTCATTATGAAATGTGAGTTGGAAGGTGAAAGACCAAGGTTTCAGAGGATTTACATTTGCTTGGCTGCAGTTAAACAAAGGTTTTTGTAGGGATGTAGGCCAGTTATAGGATTTGATGCTTTTCAAATAAAGGGTCATCACCCTGGACAATTGTTATCTACTGTTGGTGTGGATCCTAACAATGTCATGTATCCTATTGCGTATGCAGTGGCTGAGGTGGAGAATTATGAAACATGGTCATGGTTTTGTCAACTGTTGGCAGAGGACCTTGGAATCGAAAACATCTGCGGATATGTCTTTATCACAGACAAGCAAAAAGGCTTGATTGATGCAGTACATGATCATTTTCCAAACGCTGAGCACAGACACTGCCTCAAACACTTAGAAGCAAATTTTTTGCTTGCTGGTCACAAAGAATTGGTGTTGAAATTGCAAATGGAGAAAATTGCAAGGAGCACAATCATCCCATGGTGAGATGCTGAGATGAAAAATATGAGACAGTTGAGCCAAACTTCATTTGATTGGGTGGCGGCCTTAGATCCATCACAATGGTGTAGAGCTCACTTTAAAACTCATTCCAAGTGTGACATCCTTTTGAATAATATGTGCGAGGCTTTTAACGGTGCCCTTGTAGAAGTACGAGACAAATCTATTTTAACCATGCTAGAGAGAATTAGATACTATATTATGTTGTTGATTGCAACTAGAAGAGCATCTTGTGAGAAATGGAAAGATGCCATTGGTTCAAGGATTTTTAGGATTTTGGAGAAAACAAAGAAAGAATCAGCTTGGTGCATTCCAAAGCTTGCTGGGGAGAGTTTATATGAGGTCAAAAACCATGATGGAAGTCAGGTTGTGGTTGATTTGGCAGGGCATTGTTGTTCATGTAGGAGATGGGATATTACTGGGATCCTATGCAAGCATGCTTGTGCTGCAATTGTCCAATTAAATGGGGATCATATTGCTTATGTTGATGCTTGTTACAAGAAGAAGGCCTTTATGAGAGCTTATGGTCCAATGGTTCATCCAATGACAAGTGAAGACTTGTGGCCTAAGTGTGATAGGCCTCCTTTGATGCCACCACTTTATCACAAACAACCTGGGAGACCAAGGAAGAAGAGGATGAGGTCAGCAGGTGAACAACCAAGCAAATCTAATCCTACAGCCACCAAGTTGCAAAGGTATAACTTGGAAACCAAGTGTTCACTTTGTAGACAAGGAGGCCATAATATGAGGAGCTGCCCTAAGGCAAAAGAAGGTAGCAGCAGTCGGGTTTGTCTCTTCCAAAAACACATTGGCAATGCATTTTTGTTTTGGATGTTTATTATTTATTTATTTTCAAGTGATTCTCTACTTATGTTAGGTCCGATCTAAATGAAATGTTCAGAAATCTACCCAAGATACGACATCAACCAAAAGGGTTACAAGACAATCAACAGCCAAGCAACCTGTAAGCCTCCATTATTTTTATTGATATTAAGAGGATGAGGTATGAGATGTAGTTGATGTAAATTGGAATCCTTTTCAATTTGTAGGTGAGAAGAAGGTTGGAAACTGGCCAGTGTTCTCAAACTCCACATGGTTCTGAAACAGGCCAAGCTTCCCAAACTGCCCCAGCCCCAGCATCTCAAACTGCCCCACCTTCAGTACCTGCCCAAGCATCTCAAACTGGCCAAGCTTCAGACACTCCAAAAAAAAAGGTTTAAGTCTCCTGCAAAGAGGATTAAATTCCCCAAAAAGAAGGATGGTTCTCAAACTCTGCAAGGCTCTCAATCTGTGCAAGGAACTGAATCTGTGCAAGCTTGTCCAGTTTCTCAAACTGCCCAAAGTTCTCAACCTGCCCAAACTAGTCAATCTGTGCAAGGATCTCAACCAAGTGCAAGCTTATCACACCCTTTTGCCAGTGGTCCAAGCAAAAAGAGGTTCAAATCTCCTACCAAGAGGATGAAATTTACCAATCGGAAGGATTTGGTGGATGGTTATCAGCCTTGGAGATTCTGATCATGTGAAAGTGTTTTGTGTTTTGTTAAAATGCGTCTTATGAAGACCTTTTCATTCCACTTTTGTTTTACATGTACAACTGTTAAGGACAAGTGTTAAGGACAAACCTTTGAAATAGGGCTTTTGATTGAACTATTATTTTGCAAGTCCAACTATTAAGAACTTTATTAGTAATGTTATAAAATGGTTATAAACTGTGAGGATTTGATCAGTGTTATAAACTGTTGCAAGTGTTTGTGGTACTGTTCATTTGGTAATACTTTTCATACCATTACATATGAGGTCAAAATCCAATAAGTAACTCCCACATTGTGTTCAACAACCACATTCATTACATAAGTACCAATACATTGTTACATCTAGTTGCAAATGGAAACCATGTTCCTCCATCATTACATAGCTACGAAGACATGATATTTTAGATACAGTTGCAAAATTGGACTTGTACAATCTGCCTAATTCCTCCATTGCAATGGCCACATTTTGTGCCAAGTTGTTACAGACCTTGCCAAAAAAAAACCATTACTAAACCCCATGAAAGAATAAGCCAACCCATTAACTTTCTTTCTCTTGCTTGACGATGCCCAACGTCCTTTTCAAGTTCCTTCAATCTTCTAAGTAGCTAACTCACCAGAGCCTTCTCTCTAGGTGGAAATTCAACATCCACCCAAACAAAAAACCCACATCCTTTTTTCCTCCTCTGCAACAAACATTAATACCAATTAATAAATAAATTTAACCGAATTCACACACTTTCAACAACATAACTTACCCCTGATGAGTTTGGACAAACATGGAATCTTCGAAGTGGGTTCGCCTCAGTCCATGAAGTTTGTAAGCGAGCTATCTTCCCACAAAAGCAACGTGGTGCCGCCACATCCAACTCTTCCCCTTTGTCAACTATTTCAGTCCTCATCTTCAGTTTTCGTGGAACCCAACCTCTGATTTCTAGGGTTTTAGAGGAAGTCAATTTGGGGTTTTTTTGGTTCCGTAGCCAGCTTAGATCAATTAGAACGTTGGAGCTATATCAGATGTTAGAGGTGGGCTCCACATGTACACGTCACACCCTCATATTGGTGGGAAAAATCCCAGCTCAGTTGAATGGACCAAACTACCCCTGCCACGTCATTGGTTTAACGGAATTTGGAATGGAGTAGACGGAAAGTGGTTAAGTGAAACACGAAACATTGGTCAAGAGGGCAAAGTGGGTCACTTTAACTTTGAGGGGGTAAAGTGAGAATTGACCAATGTTCCAAGGGGCACTGTAGCATTTAAGCCTAAGTTAATTTCTATACCTTTTGTGCCTTCTTCAAAGCAGCTTGCAGATATGTTGACCCATGCTGTGTCAAAGCACCGATTTGAAGACTCACTTGACAAGTTGGGCATTACCGATATCTATGCACCAACTTGAGGGGGAGTGTTGGCATGAGTCAACGTTCCTATTAGGAATAGAATTTGTTCCAATTAGGAATAAAATTTCTGTTTTATTGTAATTATCTAATTTGAGTAGAATTAGGAGATTTTGTACATATTTCCTATTTGTAACCACTCTGTATGTAGTATATATATTCCTTCTTGAGAGAAGAATAAATATATCAGTTTTAAACCCTAATCATTTTGAGTGACATGTATTCATAAGCATAACCATGATTAACTTTTTACTTTGATTTATGTAATCATGGTTATATTTATGTACACGTGTCAAATGTTGAAATGGGTGATAAGCATACACCTTGGGTTAAAATGGTGAGCAAAAATGTTCCCTTTATATAGATGATCCATATATAATTCTCTGATAATTAAGAAGCTTTCTTTTCAATGATTAGAAAACATGGCATTAAGGTTTTCAATCATTTGAATGAGCCCAAGGTATTTAGGATGATATGGAAATCATACCTAAGCTTTTTGGAGGAGGGGAGAGGACTCTCTATATGTACGAAATGGGTGAAATATTTTGTGATATTTTTCGGGATTTGGAACAAACAAAAAAATTATTATTATTAAAAAAAAAAAAAAAAAAAAAAAAAAAAAAAAGCTGGCACACATTGAAATTCATATAAAATAAAATAACACCAATATTCCAGCTATGGAACACGTGTTCAAATGGAATTACAATTCTTTGCCCACAGGTTATTTCGGCTAAAGTGTTTGTGTCAAACACTGAGGCCAATGAGTGATCATTTGTTTAATCTCAAACTCCTCAAAACCAAGGGCATATAAAATGGAGTTCGGAGGCCTGGAAAAAGGGGGGGAGCCGTAAGAACGAAGGAGAGGAGCAGAAGGCAGAGAGGAGCAATGGCATAGAGGAGCACCCGTCACCGGAAAAAGTCAGGAATTTCTCTATGGCAAGGATGCATTCAACATCTAGTACAATCAACCCATGGGGATTAGGGGTGGGCACAGTTCGGGTTGAACTGATTTTTGCCTCAAATTAGAACCGATCTGGTACTATTCATTTGGTTTGGTTCGGTTTGGTTTTAATAAATAAAAATTCAAAAACTATCCGGTTTGGGTTGAACCGGTTTCGGTCCGATTCGGTTTTGAACAGGATTATAAAAATTATTTTTTAAATACAATTCTCAATTGAAATATTATTATTTTTACTTGAAAATTAACAAATTATTCAATTTCATATTAAAAAATATTAAAGTTAGAAAAGATAGATATTTTGAAATTTACCGTGGATAAATATTAGTTTTTTTTTGTGAAATTAAAAATATAGCATTAAATATAAATATATATTGAGCTATCCATAAGGTTGCTTATCATGATGAGCTATCCATCACAAAACTAAAACTGATTGGCAATGCCATTAAAAGACATAGAGAAATTCCCATAATTTTATGGACTTCTCTTACTTCAACGGCACAATGGCTGAGACTTGTTCAATGTTGTTCGTGTGTGCCAAGGAGGACAACAAAGAAAAAGGAAATCAAATAGGAAATGTCACATCCCAAATTGGCTCCACCGTAGCACGATATTGTCCACTTTGGGCCCTCTGCCCTCACGATTTTGTTTCCAGGAACTCACGAGTAACTTCCTAGTGGGTCACCCATCTTGAGATTGCTCTAGCCCAAACTCGCTTAACTTCGGAGTTCCTATGACTCTAAAGCCAGTGAGCTCCCAAAAGGCCTCGTGCTAGATGGAGGTGGGCATGTCCATATAAAGCACATCACCCCATCTCCGTTGATCAATGTAGGATGTTACAATCCACCCCCCTTAGGGGCCCGATGTCCTCATCGGCACACCTGCACCACACGACAGAGTGGCTCTGATACCATTCTGTCACATCTCGGATCGGCTCCGCTGTAGCACAATATTGTTTGCTTTGGGCCCCCTGCCCTCACAATTTTGTTTCTAGGAACTCACGAGCAACTTCCCAATGGGTCACCCATCCTGAGATTGCTCTAGCCCAAACTCGCTTAACTTCGGAGTTCCCATGACTTTAAAGCCAGTGAGCTCCCAAAATGCCTTGTGCTAGATGGAGGTGGGCATGTACATATAAGGCACATCACCCCCTCTCCGTTGGTCAATGTGGGATGTTACAGGAAAAAAGAAACCACGTGGTAATTTCTACGAGTACCCAAAAAGCGATTCCAAATTCCACCACGATTGGATTGTCTTTCAAATGGAGAACTTGATGTCCTGCTGATGTAGAACATATAGCTGAGTTGATCGAGGAACAGCTGGATAACAGCGCACATCGTAGCGCCAGCAAAGCCCAATCTGTGCACGTATGGGCTCCGAGCTCAAAATCAAGCACATGACCTATCGTTTCGAAGAGAACGACGTGACAAATACAACTCACTACTTTACTGTGATATATAGGCTATTTTAGCCAAATTATATCATTTACTTTGACTTTTCAGCGTTTAAAGTTTTTAGAATATTTTGGAAAACTTTATTATTTCCCTTTTTGTTTTCTAATTAGCCTTCTTAGCAAGTCTAGGGTTTCTCATTAGCTTTCCAAGCAAGTCTAGGGTTTCTCTTGTATAAAAGGAATGCGTTGGAGCATCCTAAGATTATTCATATTATTTTCTATCAATATATTTGAGGTTTACTCAATTTCTTTGGTGGATTCTAGTTTGTTGGTGGATTTTGGCATTGTTACTTGTAGGGTTATCGTTCAATCTACCTATCCCTTATATCTCGTTGCGTCAATTGGTATCAGAGTAGGTTTTTACCTGACACGGAGTGCTTCCAATGGCTCGTCCAGACGGAGAAGATAGGACCTATGGAGACGGGGAACCAATCACTCGTGATGAATGCAATACAGCAATCAAGGGTCTACGTTAGATGATCCTGACCTTGGGAAACCAAGCACGGCCAAATGAAGACAGAGGAGAAGACCGGTGTAACAAATGACGTCCCCCAGAGCGCCTCGTCAAGAAGATAGCGATGCAGAGTTGGAGGAAGAAATTCATGACGTTCATGCCCAACCTAATAATCAACGCCAAGAAAACTATTGCATGAAGACTGAAATTTCATATTTCAATGGGCACTTACAAGTTGAAGATTTCTTGGATTGGCTTTTGAAGTGGATAGGTTCTTTGAACTAATGGAGGTTCTCGGGGCAAAGATGGTGAAGTTAATAGCTTTTCGTCTCAAATGTAGTGCTGTAGTATGGTGGGATCAATTATAGAATACGCTCCAAAGGCAAAGGAAAGCTCATGTGTGAACTTGGCGACAGATGAAGCAATAATGATGGACAGATTCCTCCTGGCAGACTTTGAGCAATATTTGTACCGCCTTTACCACAATTGCATCCAAGGCCATAGGATGGCGATAGAGTATACATATGAATTTTCCCTTGCAGAACGTAATAGCCTAGATGAAACTGATGGTCAATAAGTAGGAAGGTACATGAATGGGCTTAAACCTTCCATCCAAGATTGAATTGGGTTGCATATTTTATAGACCATGCAAGAGGCTAATAGCATGGCCCTCAAGGCGGAACTTATGGAGAAATCTGCCGATTCACCTATCCATGCAAAAGAGAAAGGTAGGAAAGTTGCACAGGTTCCTGGGAATAATAATACTAATAAATGGCAGGGCACAAAGGGAGCAACAGAAGGTAATAGCCATACTGGGGATAAGGGTCGTTTCCGGAGACCGAATCCTTATGCAAAACCTTATGGAGATCATTGTTATTATTGCAGCAAACCGAGCCATAAATCCACCGATTGTCCCAATCGTAGGCAAGTTAACTTGGCTGAAGCAAATGAGGATGACAATGAGGATCATGGTGCTGATGAAGAGTACGAAGGAGCTGATTTTGCTTATGAGAAAGGTGACGAATTAATTAACCTAGTCTTGCATCAGGTGTTACTCACACCAAGACAAGAGGAAGGGCAGCGACATAAGATCTTTCGATCTTTTTGTACTGTGAACAACAAGGTGTACAATTTAATTATCGATGGTGGCAGCTGCGAGAATCTCATATCCAAAAAAGTCATGGATTATTTAAAGTTTCCAACAGAGAAGCATGAATCACCTTATTCCTTGAGATTGGTGAAGAGAGGCCCTTCAGTTCAGGTGACAGAAGTTTGCAAGGCCGTTGTCCATTGGAAAGCATTATAAGTCTGAGGTTCTTTGTGATATTATTGATATTGATGCTAGTCACATTTTGTTGGGTAGACCTTAGCAGTTTGATATAGATGCCACTCGTAAGGGACGTGATAATGTGTATGTTTTCAATTGGGGCTCTTATAAAATTGCTATGGCTCCCCTGAACGACTCTGGAAAACCTGAGAAACTAGCCGTGAATCCCAATTTCCTCACCATAGCTAACAATGAACGTGACTGTTTATAAGCCCTTAAAGATGCAGAAACAATTTATCTCGTGGTGATGAAAGGGTTGTTAGCTATCGTGCCTGAGAAAGTTGAAATCCCAAAAGAAGTGCAGAAAATTTTGCACGGGTTCAAGGAGTTGATTGCTGACGACCTACCTAACCATCTACCTCCCATGAAGAATATCCAACATCAAATTGATTTGGTGCTTAGAGCAAGTCTCCCAAATCTACCACATTACCACATGAGTCCCAATATTGTTGGTGCCCCACATGGCGTAATTGTGTTGATAGTAGGGCGATCAACAAAATTACTATCAAATACAGATTTCCAATACCACGGTTGGAAAACATGTTAGATGTGTTGGAGGGTTCTAAGACCATCTCCAACCATGTTTGGGCTAAACTCAAATTTTCACCCTCCAAAATACAACTATTCATGTATTTTCAAAACTCAAAATTTTTTTCCTTCCAACCTTGCAGACTCATAATTTGAGTCCACAACTTTATTAAATTGTTTAAGAATGATTAACCCCTATTTTTTTTTCTTGTTAATTTTTCTTAATATTATTTTTGTTTCAATACTCATGATTTAATTTTCTAAACATTTTAACCTAAAAAAATTAAAATTCCAAAACATAATAGAATTTCACTTAAAAATAAAAAAAAGTACAACACCATACATATGCCCGGAATAATTTGAACCATTCATTGAAGCCATTGTCATAATTTTCTTCCATTTTTACTTTTACTTTTACTTCATTGGATTCCTTTATCCTCATTCAATAATGTTCTGAACTTTTGCCCACCTCCACTTGTGTTCTTCAATTATTTTCTAAACTCTTTCCCATCCCCTATTGTTTTGTTTCAATCATGTTCTGAATCATTGCTCAACTTTGTCCATCTCACTTTATTGGATTCCCTTATCTTTCCATATCTTTTCCTATCTTCATTCAATTATTTTCTGAACCATTTCTCATCTTGTCTTGTTTCAACCACGTTCTGAACTATTGCTCATCTTTGTTCATCTTACTTTATTGGATTCCCTTATCTTTCCCTATTTTTTCCTATCTTCATTCAATTATTTTCAAACATGTAGATCATCTCATTCTCTTGTCTATTTAAGAAGTGTTATTCTACTAAATTGACCACACAATCTCCTTCAATTCTCCTTCTTACAATGAATTCACATGGGAAGGCTATACAAAATTTTTTCAATGATGATTCTGATGATGATGACCTTCATCAATAGAGGGTTGTAATGGCTATTCAACACCATACATTTTTGCTAGAGCAATATGCTCAACAATCCAAACATGGTGGTTATGTTGCAAGCTGTGAATACAAGAATCAGAAGAAAGAAACACATCATAAGAGTCTCATGAAGGACTACTTCTGTGAAAGACCACTTTATCCCCCAGTGGACTTTCACAGGCGGTTTTGCATGATAAGAGAGCTTTTCTATCACATCTTGAATGATGTTGTTGCACATGAGCCATACTTTACCCAGAAGATAGACGCTTATGGACGACAAAGTCTATCCCCAGAGCAGAAGCTAACAGCCGTTTTTTGAATGCTCGGCAGACTACAGCGACGAGTACTGTAGATTGAGTGAAACTATAGCCCTTGAATGTTTGCGCAAGTTTTGTTCTGTTATTGAAGTCGTGTATGGTCAGTGGTACTCTAAACCCTAAATCCAGCCGACCTTTATAGGCTCTTGCACAAGGCCAGTCGCAGAGGATTCCCAAGCATGTTAGGCAATCTTGATTGCATGCATTGGGAATGAAAGAACTGCCCCATTGCTTGGGCAGGCCAGTTCACCAGCTACAAGCATAAGCCAACTGTCGTTCTAGAGGCAGTGGCCTCGTATGACACTTGGATATGGCATGCCATTTTTGGAGTTGTCAAATCGAACAACGATATCAACGTTCTAGCTCGTTCCCTGTTGTTCAATGATGTAGTGAATGGAGTGTCTCCCCATATCCAATATGTTGTCAATGGAAATAAATATAATCTGAGTTATTACTTGGCTGATGGTATCTACCCTCGTTGGGATACATTGGTTAAAACGATTTCCCAACCGGATACTCCAAAAAAAAAGGACTATTTGCCCAAAAACAAAAGGCTTATAGGAAAGATGCCAAAAAAGCCTTTAGAATACTTCAGGCTCAATGGGCAATTGTTAGGGGACCTGCACATATGTGGTGCAAAGAACAACTTTGTTCAATCATGATGATGTGCATAATATTGCACAACATGATTGTTGAGGATGAGTATGAGGATCTAGATGCAGAATCTGATGATGAAGACAATTGTCCACAAACATCTAGAAGAGCAAGAGCAAGACTTGCTTATGAGCTTGAGCCAACTATCATGTACGATATAAATTGAGACAGACAAATTATCTTAGACTACATGGTCCGTCATAATAGAGTTCGTGTTTCGCAAGTGCATCACAATCTAAGAAATGATTTGATCAACCACAATTGGAGATGCGAAGGAGGGGCAATGAGCTATGTTGTGTGTTTAAATTATGTTGCGTGTTTAAATTATGTAAGTGTGTTTAAATTATCTAAGCGTGTTTAAATTATGTTGTGTGTTTAAATTATAAAAGTGGTTGTGTGATTTTAATGAATTATATGGTTTATCATTGAAGTTTAAAAAAAAAATAATCATAGAAAAATAAACGACAATCATAATAATAATAAATAAAGATAAACAATAATTATAAATAAAGATAAACAACAATTACAAATAAAGATAAACAATAATTAAAAATAAAGATAAACAACAATTACAAATAAAGATAAACAATAATTAAAAATAAAGATAAACAACAATTAGAAATAAAGATAAACGACAATTATAAATAAAGATAAACAACAATTACAAATAAACATATATTAATAACCACTATGTGGAGAGCTTGGATAATAGTATCCAGAGTTGTCTTCTGGATTGTAAGGGGAACTTGTATTCATCTGGGCCTCAATAATTTCGTCTGAGTGCTGCTATTTTCACCAACCTATCCTATTTTTCCACCCACCTTATTTTCCCACCCACCATATAAATTTTAAAAAACACAATCCTATCTTTCTACCCACCATTATTCCTAAAATACCCTTTAATTATAATATTAAGAGTCAGTTCTATATTTTTGCTTGTTTTTATGTTTAGGTGTAATAAAATATTCATAGAATTTATAAAACTCAATTAAAAAATAAGAAATTTTTTAAAACAAAAACCCATCTGCACCCCTTCCCCGACCCCAATCTCTAACCCTACCCCACTGCCCAAATTCATCCCCAAAAACCCAAGCCTCTACACCATCGTTGCCTCCACCACTGAGAAACTGATGTGGATTCAATCAACTTCTTGATGCGAATCATAGCTCTAAAGCAGGAATCTAAAATCAATTTCCTTTCAAGGTGGCCACAGGTATTTTAATTGTTTTAATTTTGCCCATATAATCATTAAAGCATAGGGCTTTGTTTAAAATACATGTTTGTTTTTTAGGAAGTGATTTGGAGGCAGTCGAAATTCTCATCATTGTTGACCATGAAGAACCAAGTTGGTGGGTTTGGGTAACAGAAGATATGATTCTGGGCAAAGTTGAGGATATGAGTGGAATTGACAATGAAAGCTATGTTCTTGTCAGTGGGTAGAGCTCCGGTTTCCCAATATTCATATGGTTCTGAACCGAAGGGGAGATGGATTGTGCTGGGTACAGTACAGAGGTGGGTGCTTGGGGAAGTGGGGGAGATGGCTGCCGTGCAGTGGAGGAAGAGGGAGAAGGGTGGGGTGTGCGTGTTGTGAGGGAAGGGGTTTGATATTTGTTAATAATCTTTTTAGTTTTTTTTTATAATCATTTTCTTATGTTTTTTAATTGGTTTTAATGATTTTCCCCCAAGTCCTTAAAAGTCATTTTGTAAAGGAGTAAATTGGTCTTTAAAATTTACAAGATTAGGTGGGTGAGGAAATAGGACAGGTGGGTGGAAATAACAACACTCTTTCGTCTTGCTTATTCCCCCAATACTTTTTTCTTGGAGTAAATTTGGATAGGTCCATGGACATTATCCTATGTTCATTGGCCTCCTTATCTTGTTGGATTTGATATGCATGTTGCTCTTGTAGGAGCTCTAACTTTCGCCTCCTATCCTCTTTTGCCTCATTTCCTTGTTGAACCAATTCAGACAAGAACTTACCACTTTGGTTGAGATAACTTTCAACACCTTTCCCTTTCTTTCTTTCATCCTTCTGTTTATCTCTTCCCAACGGCCTTGGAGTGGGCATGGACACATCATCTTCATCTTCCTCCAAATTGACTGTATTGCCACTATGAGAAGAATCTTTGAATGTTTGTGTGAGAGATTCACATAGGTCGTTCCATTTTGGGCAATCTTTTAAGATTTTCCAAGCATGATACAACTTGAAAGGCCTATTTAGAGGTTTATTATCATTCAAGAAAAGTGTTTTTGCATTCAAATCCTACCCATGAAATAAAATAAAAATCAAGTTAATAATTGAAAACAATTAAAACTATAAATTTAAGCATTGAAAAAAATGGGTACTCACCACATCTTAAATATTGGAGCCACTCACATGCCTTGCATTGGCCTGTGTTATATATGCCTTCCAAAGAGAACATGGTCGGTTGATGATCTTGAACTAAGAAGCAATAGCTTGCGGTGATCGTACCCCAGCTCCGCTCATGCCGGAATCATTTTCCAAAAAAATTTGGTACACATGCAACCAAAATGAGTCGTTTTATTGATTCGTGCCAATAGCTCCATCTTCAAAGACAAAACCCACCCTCTGCACAATGCGTCATCTTCTTGTGGTTTCCAATTCACACATCTATGAGGTTTTGGGGCCATTCTCAACAAGAATGAATGTAGAATGAAAAATTATAACAAAGGGAGAAAGGAAAATGAAGGCAGAAAGGAAAAAAACATGATTTTTGGTGGATTATTTACCAAATGAATGGCTATTTATAGAGTTTGGAATAATTTTTGGGGTTGGATCTGACTTAGATTAATTATAAATATTAATTTGACCGTTGGATGTGAAATTTTACCATTGAGATTGTCTAAAATGAATCAAAATCGTTAATTTTATAGCTGTTGGAATATATAAAATAAAATAAAATAAACAGCATAACATATTATTTGAAAAAGTAGCCGTTGGCCATCAATAAAGGAATGGGAATCTGCTTTTCCCACTTGTCAGCAGGCCTAGCATCAATTGGCCATCACGTGGGCTTCCAGCATTCAATAAAAAAAAATTAAAGCAGATTTTGGGCCCACGAATTTATCAGTCCAGGCAGAAATCAAACTGGAATTCTAGTCCAGTTTTGAGATTCTCAAATCCCCCCCCCCCCCCCCCCCCCCCCCCCCCTCCCCTGCAAACTGGAATTCTAGTCCAGTTTTGAGATTTCAAATTCCCCATACATGGGTTGGAGAAGCTTTTTGGAGGCTAAACTCAAAATTTGAGTTTCCACCCCTTGGGTTGGAGATGGTCTAAGGTGTTTTCAAAGTGGTTACCATCAGATTCGCATCAAGCCGAATGATGATGCCTTTTGGTTTATCAAATGCACCAAGCACTTTTATGCGCCTTATGAACTAGGTTCTTCTTCCTTTTATTGGTTCTTTCGTTGTGGTATATTTTGATGATATTTTAATTTATAGTCAAACCAAGGAAGAACATTTGGAGCATTTGAAATAGGTCCTTCGAGTTTTGGAGGAAAACCAACTTTTCATCAACCTGAAAAAGTGTAATTTTTGCACCAATAAATTACTCTTTCTAGGTTATTTTATTGGCGAGGATGGCATTCAGGTGGATGACGAGAAGGTGCGAGCTATAGTGACTGGCCTACCCCAAGAATAGTAAGTGAGTTGATAAGCTTTCATGGGTTGGCTACCTTTTATCGAAGGTTTGATCATGATTTTAGCACCATTACTACATCCATCACTAAATGTTTGAAGCAAGGAAAGTTTCAATGGGGAGATAAGCAAGAGAAGAGTTTCGCACTCATTAAGCACAAGCTGTGCACCGCCCCAATCCTAGCCCTTCCTAACTTTGAGAAGATATTTGAGGTCGAATATGATGCAAGTGGGGTGCAGTTTTGTTTCAAGAGAAGAAACTAATGGCCTTTTTCAATGAGAAACTTAGTGAAGCTCGCCAAAAATGGAGTACTTATGAGCAAGAATTTTATGCTGTGATTCGTGCTTTGAAACAGTGGGAGCACTACTTGGTGCAACGAGAATTTGTACTCTATACAAATCACCAGGCCCTAAAGTTACTCCACAGTCAGAAATCTGTGAGCAAGATGCATATAAGGTGGAGTACCTTCATGCAGAAATTCCCTTTTGTGATTAAACATAAATCAAGTACCCTTAATCGTGTGGCAAATGCTTTGAGCCGAAGAGCAAACATGCTAGTTCCCATGGCTCAAGAGATTGTGGGATTTGAGTTCTTGAAGGAGTTGAAGACTTTAAGGAGATTTGGTCTAACTATGTTCACAACCAACATGTTACAGCTTTTCACCTCACTTATGGTTATTTGTTGAAAGGCAACAAACTCTGTATTCCTAAGACCTTCTTGAAGGAGAAGCTAATTCGAGGTTTACATGGAGGAAGCCTGAGTGGGCACTTGGGAAGAGACAAAACAATTGCTGGCATGGAGGAGTGATATTATTGGCCACAATTGAAAAAGGACGTGGGAAAGATCGTGCAAAAGTGTTATACTTGTCAGGTGTCTAAGGGTCAGTCTTAAAACACTAGTCTTTACATGCCTTTGTCTGTGCCTAATGATATTTGGCAGGACCTTTCTATGGACTTCGCGTTGGGACTCCCCCATACACAAAGGGGAGTAGATTCTGTTTTTGTTTTTGTTGACAGGTCTCCAAGATTGGACACTTTATCGCGTGCAAGAAGATGAATGATGTTGCTAGCATAGCCAAATTGTTTTTCAGGGAGGTTGTTTGTTTGCATGGTGTGCCCAAATCCATCACCTCTGATCGTGACACGAAGTTCCTTAGTCACTTTTGGGTTACTTAATGGAAGATGTTTGGAACCACCCTTAATCGCAGTAGTACCGCACATCCCCAAACTAATGGCTAGACAGAAGTTACTAACAAAACTTTTGGTAACATGATTCGTGGTATCGATGGAGACAAACCCAAATAGTGGGATAATGCACTGCTTCAAGTGTAGTTTGCTTATAATAGCGTTGTTCACAGTGCCACAGGAAAATCACCTTTTGCTTTAGTTTACAGTTCGGTTCCTAACCATGTGATTGATTTAGTGAAGCTACCCAAGGCCCATCATGTAAGTACCGCAGTTGAGCATATGGCAGAAAACGTCCAAGCAATGAAGAATGAGGTCAAGAAGAGGTTGGAGAAAACCAATGCTAAAATACAAAGCCACCGCAGACAAACATAGACGAGTCAAGGGGTTCAATGAAAGCAACTCCGTCATGGTCTATCTGAAGAATGAGAGGTTCCCAGTGGGTACTTCTCGCAAGTTACAGCCCCGCAAATATGGTCCCTACAAGATTCTAAGAAGAACAACAACAATGCTTATGTTGTGGACTTGCCATGGCCATTGAGATTTCAAGCACTTTCAATGTTGTTGACCTGTATGCATTCTATGAAGATGATCCACTCTATCCTGAAGATAACTCGGGTTTGAGTTATTCCGAAGTGGAAGAGATTGATGTAGAACATATGGCCAAGTTGATCGAGGAACAGTTGGACAGGCACGCACGTCATCGCGCCAGCAAAGCCCAATCTATGCAAGTATGGGCTCCGAGCTCAGAATCGGGCTCATAACCTATCGTTTAGAAGAGAATGGTGTGACAAATACAACACACTGCTTTGATGTGACATATGGGCTATTTCAGCCAAATTCTATCGTTTACTTTGACTTTTCAGCGTTTAAAGTTTTTAGAATATTTTGGGAAACTTTTATATTATTTTCCCTTTTGTTTTCCAATTAGCTTTCTTAGCAAGTCTAGGGTTTCTCATTAGCTTTCCAAGAAATTCTAGGGTTTCTCTTGTATAAAAGGAATGCGTTGGAGCATCCTAAGATTATTCATATTATTTTCAATCAATATATTTGAGGTTTACTCAATTTCTCTGGTGAATTCCAGTTTGTTGGTGGATTCCGACATTATTACTTGTAGGGTTATCGTTCGATCTCCATATCCCTTATATCTCACTATGTCACCTACACATGAAGCAAGACAAGTTATCTTGCCTTTGGTGGAGATTTGGAAAGCTAAAATAAAACAAGAAGAATGAGTGTGGTGGAGGGACGTGAGATGTGTAGAAGGAAAGAACAAAAACTTTGTTTCTTTCTTTTGTTATGCGGCACAATCAAAGCAAGAAAAAAAATAAATTAAAAAAGAAGGAGGACTCTTCCTCAACACCTGCAAGTGAGACATTTGATTTATTAAGTGGGATATTCCAACCGGCTTGAGGCAAACAGAAATAAAAAGAACGGATGTGGATGTGGTGGTTCACCCACCACGTAAGGGTTCAAGCCTCTCCCTGTCATGCAGGCAGCAACTAAGAAATAGGTGAAGTCTATGATGGTCCCCACACATTCAGAGAAAGGAAACCAAAAGGAAGAAGACTTCTTTCTCTCTTGGCTTGCAGCAAATAAAGTTGAGAAAGAGAAGTTTGTTCTCTTTACTCTATTACAAGAAGGAGAGAAGTTGCTTGCCACCTGCACAAAATTGAGACCCAAGGAAAAAAACAAACAAAATAGCAAAAGGTCACAAAAGACTTCAGTTCACAGGTTGAAAGACCATGTGTGTTGTTTCCTTGAGCTCAGAAGAAGTGATCAAGAAAGCTGAAGGCTTTGAGGATTCAGCTCATTACCAAATCATTGACAGCAACAGGCCCAATACGAAATTACAAGATTTGATGGCCTAAGACCTAATGGTCTCATATGCACTGGGCTCGTCTCACATCTCAAAGATCAGTCAGTCTCAAGCCGACATTCCATGACTTGACAACCTCAAATACAATGGACTTGTTCATTATAAGTCTCAAACTTAATGGACTTGTCCATTAAAAATCCAGTTGGTGAACAATTGGTGCAAAGTCTCAAGTTTGCAAATTATCGATTAATGGGCTTAAATTTCGAAAATGCCCATTAATTCCTAAATCCTCAAGTGAAGCCTCAAGTGGTACAAAACCATGTCAAATTCCCAGTGGTACAAAATCACGCCAAATCCCAAGTGGTACAAAACCACACCAAATCCCAAGTGGTACAAAACCACGCCAAATCCCAAGTGGTAGAAAGTTACGCCAAAACCCCAAGTGGTACAAAACCATGTCACAAGCCCAAATGGCACAAAACCATGCAAATTAAATCAAAATTTGGAACTATGTCGGTTTGATCTCGTCAAGGGTACGTAGGCAGTCTAGCATCCCACTAGACTAGAGGTGTCAAACGGGCCATGTCGGGCCAGCCCATCCCATTTAAACTCGTGCTTTTAACGTTTTCGTGTCAGGCCAGACCGGCCCATTTAATTTATCGGGCCGTGCCGTGCCGGCCCATTTAGTAAAATCATTGATCCCGGCCCGGCCCAAATCCCATGTCCATATTGAAATGGGCCGGGCTGGGTTCGTGCCGTGCCCATGCTCATGCTCGTGCCATACTTGGGCCCAAGAAAAAATCCATTTAATTTGAATTTTTTTCACTTCATTTTTTTTTCCACTAGATAATTCAAATTATAAACATTAAAAATATAATTAGAGGCAAGAAATGATGAACTATTTGAAAACATTAATCAATCAAACATCCAAACAATATGAAATGACGGAGGGCAAAAAGTGTCAAACTCTACAAAGTCCAATTCAACTTTTCATCTTTAAACAATTTATTATTTTATATGTGAAATAATGTCTTGCTTTGATTATAAGAGAAGCATATATGTCATATGTACTGATTAGATATCAAGTCCAATGTTATTTAATTAATTTGTAGTTGATATGTTTAATTAATTAAGGACCCAAGTAATTTCCCTAAAATGAAAGACACCAAATATATATTTATGATTAAAAAAACATATAAATAATGACATTAGATGTCAAATTATTGCATTTTGACTTTTGAGAAAGAAAAAAATGTTAAGTGGGCCGTGCTGTGCTTGAAGCGTGCTCGGGCCATGGGCCGGCCCGGTCCATTGGACCTCATTTTTTTATCCCGGCCCAGCCCAAGTTTTCGTGCCGTGCCGAGCACGGCCCATTAATATTCATGCGTGTGCCATGTCGTGCCTCATTTAAATGGGCTGGGCTCGTGCCGTGCTGGGCCGGCCCGTCCCGCTTGACACCTCTACACTAGACGCAACCGCAACCAAATTTGAATCCTTTGTTTATCCTAACCAAATTCGCCTAAACACTTTCCCAAATGCAAATGTTAATTGTAGAAAATTAGTGGGTTCATCAAAATTGCTCATTATTTTTCTTAGACATTGACAATAAGAAAAATGCTACAAAACCATCCAATTTTTCCATGGGTCATCTACCCATGCAAATTTCAATGAGATTAAATTCAAATCTCTCAAATACAAATTCTCAATTAGTGGGCCACACTTACCTATTAATTTCCAATTTTTCCCATGGGTCATTTACATATGAAAATCTCCAAATTGTCTCAAAGACACAAATTCTAAATTAGTGGGCCACACTTACCCATTAATTTCTAAATTTGGAACTACGTCGGTTTGATCTCGTCAAGGGTACGTAGGCAGTCTAGCATCCCAATAGACACAACCGCAACCAAATTTGAATCCCTAGTTTATCATAACCAAATTTGCCAAAACACTTTTCCAAGTGCAAATGTCAAGTTTAGAAAATTAGTGGGTTAATCAAAATTGCTCATTATTTTCTTGGACATTAACAGTAAGAAAAATTGTACAAAACCATCCAATTTTCCCAAAGGTCATCTACCCATGTAAATTTCGATGAGATTAAATTCAAATCTCTCAAACACAAATTCTCAGTTAATGGGCCACACTTACCTATTAATTTCCAATTTTTCTCATGGGTCATCTATCTATGAAAATTTCAACATCTCCAAATTGTCTCAAAGACACAAATTCTTAATTAGTAGGTCACACTTACCCATTAATTTCCAAATCAATTCCGAACTACGTTGGTTTGATCCCTTCGAAAGGGTACGTAGGCAATCTAGAGATTCAATCTAGATGCAACCGTCCAAATCTTAAATACTAACAGAATCCCTAGTTCATTCTTAACCAAATCGCTCCCAAACACAATTTCATATCGAATCCCTGGTGTATTCAGCTTAATTCACTCAAACACTTCTCAATACAATTCAAATCAAATTTCCCTCGAAATGAGTCATTGATTCATTGCAATTCTTTGAACTACGAGTGGTTTGATTCCCGTAAGGGATACGTAGGCACCCTGAGGTTCGACTTAGGGGCAGCAACAAAACCAAACACACACGTTATGTTTCTTTATTATGGAATCAAAGGGTTTCCTTTGAAGCAAGGGATTGTAATTAAGAGACACTATGTCTCGAATGAATCGAACTTAAAATAATAAAACCCCATTATTTAATTAGTTGTGGTGAAATTATGTTGGGAGGTTCACATTTTTCTTCAATAGGGATTCCAGATGTGACACGAGGTGGTGATATGTGTCCCTAAATAGTGGAGTCCATAGTTAGAACGAAAAATGGGCTTCAAGAACAAGTCTTGCCATTCGACCGAGGGTACCAAAGGGCACCGTAGTCCTCCTAATGCCGATGTCAAATATCAAACCCCTTGGTGCAAGGTACAAACAAGATTTTTATTATTATTACTAGCTCCTTTTGCACACAAATTATCTAGACCTTTTTTTAGTACAAGTAATAGTGTAAACTAGAGGGGATGGAGGTTTTTCTCTCTCTCTCTCTCACACACACACACAATTAAGGTGTCATGAAGTTCAAACATGAGACTACTAATCTTCAAGTCAAGGCCCTTTTCCTTTAGGCTAGACTCTGTTGGCCAAATTATATAGATGTTAGTCAGAATAAATTAAAAGGATCAAGTATATTGATGATAATCCTAGTGTCACAATGTCACTTAGAATGTATTGGACGCACCATCCATAACAGGAAGGTCTGTGCCATAGCAAATGGTGACAAATAACCCATGGAAGTGAAATAATCTAGAATCGTCCGAACAACCAATCAACTTAATTAAGGGATTAATTAGCATCGAGTATGTCTCAAAGATGATATTACATGAGATGGGGCCACCACCACCAAACCTTCTTGTATATGATCCATCAATTCTCTACTCTTCATCAATGAAATGTAGTACTAGACGAGGATCATGGCGATTTATTATATGTTCGTTGAGGCTGGTGCCTTAAAATTGTTTAGTTCGACCTTGTTAACTTTCCCATAGATAGTTCTGTTATTCCCCTTTGACATGTCTGCTTATACAGGAAAGAGATATCAAAACTTCAGGACAAGGAAACTGAAATGAAGAAGGCAGCTGCCAAAGGGAGCAAGGCTGAACAAAAAGCTAAGAAAAAGCAGGTGGAGGAAGAGATTTCTCGGCTTTCTGCTAAGCTTAAAGAAAAACATGCTGAAGAACTTGCTTCATTAGGCTATAGCACTAGTAATGGAACTGAGAAAGCCAAACTTGACAATTTAGTGAAAGCCATAGCTGGTGTTTCTGTCACCAGTCAACCTGACCAAGCAAAGCCCAGCAAGAGTTCAAAGAGGCGGGACAAAAGGGCTCAGCAAGATGCAGCTAGGGAGCAAAGAATTCAAGAAGAGCAGAGCAACCTAGTAAGTG